CCACAAACTGTGGACACATGTCCTTGTCCTGCCTTGCCCATAGAGAAAGTCTGGATCTCTAGCGGGCAACTCCTGCTCCTGCTCCCCACACTGTTGACCCCAGGATCTGCACCTCCAGCCAGTTTCTCTGAATGGAGACGCCCAAATAGTCCCTGGTGCTCTGCAAGGGAAGAGATTTTCAGCTCTCCGCTGCTCAAATGAGCCAACCAGAGGTCAAATGGCCAAGTCCAGAAGAGAGTCAAGATCAAGTGAAGGCAACAAGTTTATATTAGAAGAGGATGGAAACCACTGGGAGGAGATGATATGTGAGACATATCATCGGGAAAGGTGCTCGGGAAAGGTGCACGTCTCTGATGTGATTTTTGAAATCTGAAGTGGATCTTGCACTCAGCTGTGTGTCAGTGTTTCAGGTGCTCTGACTTCTCTCTTATGACCAGAGGGACAACTGGCCCATCTCTCTGCTGAGCAGGAACTGGAATTGAACGGAGCAGTGTGAACTTGGACAAAGTGACCAAATGATAGGGGATACTCGTGTATCTCAGCTCCAGCTGCCTCGAGTCCTGCCAGCCACAGCTGTGAGACTCATGGACCATCTCAGTTGCCAGGTTTGTTTGCTGAAATCCACTGGCTTTGAAACATGTACAAATTACCCCTGGAGACTCGGCTGGGGCCTCCCTGCTTCTTTTGTTTGAGATTTAAAACCACAGTGGAAACCAGTTTTCAGATATGTTAATACTGGAAATGGCTGAGCCAAGTAAAAGCTAACAATCTTTGAAAAATGTTTCTTGAGCACTGAGGGAAGTTTGGTTGTGCTCAGTCGGTAATGTTTTATCAGCGTCGGGATGGCTTTCTGGAAAATGAAACCTTGCTCAGTAAAGCCAGACGTGTCCCTGCTGTAGGAGTTGATCGCTGGGTGAATGTCTCTCTTCTGCACTACCCAGAAAGGCAGCCCAGACAGTTTATGCTTCCTACAGCTTTAGCACCTATGAAGGTGCTCCAGCACATCTCTTCATCTGCCATTTCCCAGGGAGCTCTACGACTGTGCAGACCGAAGAACTGCTAACCTCTTTCCATCCCTTGCGCTGGCCCATCGCCACGTGGTGTGCAAGCTTGTACGTGCCCTACCAAGTTCCCCAGCTTCTACCTGCTCTGCGGCTACACAGAGTGCTGCCAGCACCAGGCCTTTGCCCCAGGCCAGTATGTGCAAAATAGGCTTAAAATGTACCAGCAATAAAGGCAGATCATTTCAGAGCAATCAGGTGCCTCATTTCCTACATCTGTCAAAAGGACACTTGATACTGAAGCATCATGTTCCTTTAGACATAAGCAAAATAAAGATTAAGACTAAACATGTCCTTGGTGTTAAGGAAAAATCTTCAAGAAGTGGTGTAGCTGCAGGGATTTGTGATGAAAAGGGTTTTTCCAGAGGCTGTCGCTGTTCGTGGAGGCCATGTCTTTGTGGGTCCCCTTTAGTACTGAGGCAGAAGGCAACACAGGACCAAGTCAAGGTGTAGGAGAAGCTTGTCTCTATGTCCACAACTGCAGATGGGCATCAGCTTCCTCAAGATAACGTGAATCTCTTCCAGAAGCAGAAGAAGAGCTACACACTCCTAGATGGAGGTGAATTTGTTGGCACAGGTAACTACAGAGATCCTTGTGTGTGTGTGTCTCTCCCACTAATGGCACAGAAGCATCAACATCTCCCCTGTCCCCTTTGTAGCTGAGCAGGATATCCCAACAATATTGGAGCAGAAGCAAACATCTCTAGCCCAGGAAAAAGTCAGTGGATCCAGGCAGCAATGCAGTGAAGCACGGATGTAAGGACCTCTGTGTGTCACGCCAGGAGAGACCAAATGAAGATGCAATAGCTAAAGATGAAGTTCTCTTTAAAACCATCTAAACTGAGTATTGGACAGCGTAACACTATCACATCAGATGTATTAAAACCATATGCAACATGCGTAATGTGTAAACACACAGTATCTGCAGCACACCCAAACCAAACATGCCTCCTCCCTGCAACGCAAGTGCCTCCACACCTTCCCCAGGCCATTATTTCCATGCCACCTTACAAATCCCGGACAGGAGTTTGTCACCATTCAACCTTGGTATTTGCCCTTGGGTGAATACCTGCGGGATTTTTCCCTAAGATTTTTTTGTTCTCTTTGCCCAGCAGCCTTAAAAACCTTTGTCCGTCGTTCCCGGTTTTGCTGGGCTGTGGCGGCTTTTGAGGCATGTCTTGCAGAGGATGGGTTGACTTGATATTCCAGCTTCCAATCCTCAGCTGAAAAGGAGGGGGTTGCAGTTATGTCCAGCGCTTTGCATCTCTGAGCTGTAAACTTTATCTTGGCAGAAATCTAAGGAAGGTCCCACTAATGCTGGTACCTTTTCTCCATGGAAGGTACGATAAAAGTCTCAAAGAAAAAATGGGGAAAGAAAAATTATTTGTACTTCTGTCAGAGGACTTCCATCTTTAAATTACCTCAGTGAGTACAGGAACACCAGCCTATATATTAGGTAATGGCCAGGCGTTTGGCAGGGGAAGCAGTGCTATCTGGAGCCTATGTGGGTCTCTGAAAGTCTGCTTGAGTTTAGACGTAAGGATATACAAAGAAGCATGTTAAAATAGTAGATGGAAATATAGCACTCTGCAGTAAAAAAAACAAAAGGGAGTGATTATGAGCAGGAATCTTGGCTCTATTGACTCTTTTTTTTTAATAATAAAACAGAAAACGGCATCATGTTCCCAGGGACATGCTGGCAAACAGCAGGGATGGAGTCTGAGAGAATATAGAGTTATACTCTATAACTTAATATGGCTTTTGCATGATTTTAGTATTTTTATTGGTTCTTAAAACATGCAGAATATAAACATGTGAACCAGCCAGAAGTACAGCACATGGAGGGCTGGGCGCTGAGGGTGGCTGTCCAGCCGTGCCAGCCTGCAGCTGGGAGGGAGCTGGGATACTGGGGACCACCCTTCACTTGTGGTACGGTCCCAATCCTGCAAAGAGCTCCCTGGGGGTACAGGGGGCTGTGGCCAAGGGTGGCCTTATTTGGGGCAGGACTACAGGCTTATTCTGCACATTTATGGTGCTGCACCGCAGTATTAAGCCAATGTTTCCACTTTCTAGTCAAGTCAGTGCTCAAATCCCAACCTCAGCCCAAAAATAACATAAATCCAGCCCCTTTGCTGCTTCCATTCCCTCACACCCTTCTCCCTGCCCTCCTTTTAGCCAGCCACAACGTCACCAAAGGGAAAAATAACACGCTTCAACATTGAGCACCCACCTAGTGCTCAGAGGTACCTGCCTGCCCTGCTGCCTCCCACCCATCCTGGGCAGGGATTTCAGAGCTGCCATCAAACTTGGTCAGACATGGGCTACTCATTCCTTCTGACATGCCAGGGCTACCTGTATGCCTCCTGGAGACATGTGAGGTGGGAGCTGGCGTGTTCTCTGGCTGTACGAGGAATAAGACTTGTGCTACAGGCGAACATGGCCGCTCCACTCAGGCTGGCTGCATCTGACTCCACTGGGCTATTGCTTTGCAGAAAGAGCCTTGCGAATCCACACTTCTGACAACTTTGATCCACAACAATAATTACAACAAATAAATCATGTCATCAAGCTGATAAACTCACCATTTCAAGCAGAAGGGCCTGACTTGGCCTGCAGAGCAGCCCACTGGGGCATTGGGCAGAGCCATCGTTCATCTGGCACCACCGAACAAGCCCCGGGCCAGACCCTGCCTGACTCCTCTGGCCCTGCAGCTCTCATCTCGGAGCCAGAATCACATTTTTTCTTTATACGGCACTAAGATCAGACCTCCAAGCAAACCAGACATGCCTAGGATATTCATTGAGGATTCAGGAATAATTTCCTCCTAATTTCTTCTATTTGTTTTCTATATTTAAGGGGGAAACCTTAGAAAGTAAAACCAGAAGTAAGCAAGTAATTGTCAAGCAGAAGTGGGAGAAGGCAAAAGGTGGCCATTGCCAAACTCCAGGCCAAGGCCAGCTGTGGCAGCCAGGGGAAACTCAGCTCCTCGCAGTCCACTGTACATCCCTCTCTAACGCCCTGCAAGGTGGTCCATTTTACAGATGCAGTAGAGAGGCAGTGTCCCAAAGCCTATGGCAGACCAGAGAAGTGATCCACATCTCAAGTGTGTATCCTGATTGAAAGACCAAACCATCTCTTGGATGTAGGTTTTTGAAAAAATAACATACTTTACAACAACATGCGCAACAAGTCACATCTCAGATGACCTCCTGCCCTAAGCAGTGTCCTGGTTCACTGCCTGCATCCCACTCTCAATCTTCCCCCAGGTGTTTTGCTGCAACATGGCATGCCCTGTCATAGTAGTATTAATGTCTACAGTAATTATTGCCCTTGTCAAAATAAAGAAAAAAGAAAAAAAGAAAAAAAGGGAAAAAAAAGGAAAAAAGGAAAAAAGAAAAAAGGAAAAAAGAAAAAAGGAAAAAAGGAAAAAAGGAAAAAAGGAAAAAAGGAAAAAGCCTATTTATTTCTTACTAGGGTTTAAATGCAATCCAGCCTCTCAGACACAAGACTGCAAACTTTCTTTTGTCCTCATACTGCAAAAGGATCTCGTCTCTTCAGACGAGCTGGTTTGCCTTCTGCAGCCCAGAGCTCAGTGTGTGCCAGCTGTGCGCCAATGCCTGAGCTGGGCAGCACGTGCTGCACCTCTGCGCTCACGCTGCAGCTCTCAGGAAGGTTAAAGTCGTCTTGCACGCACGGATTTAGACAAGAGCACGCAGCACTCTGCTGATGCTTTTTAGGCAAGGTGCAACTGCTAATTTGGAAACCAGAGTGCAGGTGGCCCTGTGGAGAATGCAGGAGTTGTGTTGGGCCAATACCCGTACCCTGGAGATCTGAGATACACACAGGGCTGCCCATGCAGCTTGGGGAGGAGAGAGCTAATTGCTACAGGAAACCCACGGACCGTCTACGGGGGCGAGCGGGCTGGTTTCGCAGACTCACTCGGACACCTGTGATGCCGGGATAGCCAGGAGGCCCTTCTTTTCCCTTCAGTCCTTCGTTGCCTTTTTCTCCTTTCTCTCCTTCCAGGCCTTGCTCTCCTTTGTCTCCCTGTGGAAGAGAGGAGGGTGGGAGCTTTTCATACCCACACAACACATGGGCCACTGTACATGGCTCTTGCAAGGAAAAAACCCACCACGTAATTAATATTTCAGGAGTCTGAGAGGAAGAGAGCCTGCAAGCAAAAGGATGAATGAGCATGAGTCATAATACACTTGACATTTAATAAAATGAGCAAAACCAGGTTTCTTTTTTTTAAAGTCTCTTGGCTGGAGGAGAAGGAACTCCCCCATTACACAGGGTAATCTGAACCTCTTTGCTTCTCCTGCAATAAGGCCTGAACCTCCCACGTGAATGAGACAGGCAGACAAGATCTGAAAGCCTCACTTGCCTCACCCAGAAGCCCTGAGCTCAGGATGCTGAAAGATTTTTCATGGGACAGGTTTGTCTGGAGCAGCCACTTGGCTCTTGCTGTCAAATGGGAATCAGCCCAGGGCTCAAATAAACACTCTGCAAAACAGTGTCATCTTGCCCTGTGAAAGATTTGTGGTCCGAGCAGTAGGTATCATGTCAAATCACTGTTCTTATACTTGATAGCACAAAATTTTATGGAGACAATCAAAAAGGCCAATTCTGTACTGACAGCAGCACCCACACTTGTGCAACCAACCAGCCTTCACAGAGTCGTTTTCCACATGCACCTGCGTTAGCGGGAGCACAGCAACCTCTTTTCTGGTTTAAACAAATGCTCCTGCAGTGAGCAGCGGCTCTTCTACTGTCCAGAGACACATTCGGGTTGGAAAGATCTGGTTTGGTTCAAGGGCTCTCGGGGACAGTTAGCGGTGGCAAGAGAATACAGAAGTCTTGGCTGTCTTTAAGGAAGAGTCTTTGGTACAACATTCAGAGATAAGCAGAAGTAGAGACACATGGCAAATAGTTTAACTAGAACGAAGCAATAAACTGCATTGTTGTGGGACCAGCTGTTTTTTCTTTCCATGGAACAAAACTGTTGGCCTGCTTGGAAGGGCTAGCTGTGCAGGGACAGAAATCAGTCCTGTTCCAAAGGCAAGGTAGCAAACTCACAGCAGCTAGATACAGAGTGCAGTGCAAGCCCTGAGCGAGCACCTGGGGCTTTGCCAAGAGGAATGGGATCTGGTTTCTTTACTTGCAAACAATGTTCTGGTCAGTGGTGCAGGCGAGAATGATGGACAATTCTTGATTTCCCCTGCCAGGCCCAGGAATTCCTGATTAGTTGGAAATTTAATCTGTAAAGACTCAAATAAAAAGACAAATTGTTGGAAACTAGATTTTGAAGAACTTGACCTTTTTGGAGGTCTGATCAGATGCCAAAAATGTGGGCAGAGGAGTGAAACAGGAGGAGTCCGTTATGTGTACTTGCAGAAAAAAAATCCTTAGAGGGAGTAGGGCAGAGGCTTATTGCACAGAGGACCCAATAACCCCCTTTGCTTCAACCTGGCCCTGGGAGTTACGGGAGCCTGAGTGCATGGAGATGTGTGTGAGAGCCAAAATGTGCCATGAGAGTGACGTTTACCTTGACACCATCCGGCCCGGGTGGCCCACTGTCTCCTTCCAGCCCTGATTCTCCCTGCAACACACAAAAGCAAGCACCATAAAAGCTGTGCCTAAATATGCTTTTTTCCCATGCTTTCTGCAGCTGACTCGTGGCAGTGAGCCGGGCTGCAGCGACAGGAGCCCAGCCCTGAACTTTGACATGTGTCCTATCTCATACCCGAATGCTGAACAAGCTTTTCCTGGAGAAAAAGCATGAATTCAACCTCTTGCTTTATTCTTAGCTATAGTTTCTCCTCCACAGGCCCCGCTGCTGGCCTGCGGGAAGACCTCCTTTCCCTGTGTTGAAAAGTGGGCTCAGTCTGTATTCATTTAACCCGGGGCTTCCCCATCCTGCTCCAACAACTGACCTTAGTCCTGAGAAGGGACAAGAGCCACTACCAGCTTCAATCCGTGCATTCATCCCGTCCCTGGCTCTCTCCCACGTGTGCATAGTGTAGCCAGTGTTTCCCTGGTTAATGCCCCCCTTCTGCTCCTGCGTTTCCCTGCCCAGTGCAGACTGCACCCTCCCAGTGAACAGGACGGGTCTGTTCCCACACTGCCCCTTTCATATGCGAGGTTGTCACAGCGCTCTGCAAAGCGGCACTGTAGCATTTGGACAGGCTCATGTAGGCTGGTGAGCTCAAGCTGACGGGCTCTGCAAGGAAGGTGTTTCCACCACCCGCAGAAGAAACAAGGGCCATAAGGATTATGGGATGCCCAGAGCAGGGTCACTTTGCCCAGGCTGTGGGTGAACAGGGAACAGAGCCTCTGAGGAATGGATAAGGCACAGAAGCCCCACCAGAAGCCGACCGTACTCACTCTTTGGCCAACAAGGCCTTGCTCTCCAGGGACTCCCAACTGGCCAGGATCACCCTAAAAAGAAGGAACCACAGACATGGAGACAAGCTGTTTACTGGTGATGAGTGAGCATGAAGCACTTCCCATTGCACCCCTCATTTTGACTCTTTCTTTCCTTCTCCTACACAAACACCTTCATTTTGCAAGGGGGTCCAAAGGACAGGTTGGCATCACTGGCGCCTCTGCTCATGTAGGGCCAGTACACACCTCACAGGCTCTGTTGCAATGATGCTCGACAGGACAGGGGTCAAGGAGTAGTTCGTGCTGCCTACAGCTGCAGAGCCAGAAAATATTCCCTCAGCATGGCCCTTTGGCAGAAAAGCAGCAATGCTGGTTGCAATGCAACATTGCAGCAGACACAATCAGAGTGAGGGAGAAGAAAGCCGGCAGCTCTTTGAGCCCCAGCATGACTGAGGAGGGTGGAGAAGAACCTCAATTTTTGACGGCACCAAAATGAGTGAACTGAAGGTGTTGGAGCTGGCAAACAAATGGATCTTGGCAACAGTCTGTGAGGTTGCAATTTAACAGTGGGGGTGCAATGGCCATAGGGCAGCTACCTCGCATGTGTGTCCATCCAAGTTAACCGCTTTGCAAGGGAGAGAGCTCAGGAAATGCAGAAGCATAAGGGGAAAAGGTTTCACCTATCCATACATCTTGTCCCGCAGCAAGCTGGCCTGCAAGTGATAACTGCCCAGAGCAAGCCCAGCCTGTCCCAGAACCTCCCAGCTTAGGAGAAGGAGCAGCACGGGACTCTCGCTCCCTGACTCCCCAGCAAGGACGTGCTGCATTGACGGTGGGTAAAGGGGTGTTTGTGCAAATCATCGTGTCCTGTTCCTGAGGAGGGCAGCCAGGAGCACGGGAGCTGAAACACTCGTGCAGTATCAGGATGCCAAAGGCACGGTAGGTCCAGTGAAGTGTCAGAAGATTTGCCAAGGAAAACATGGCAAAGGATGGGGCTGGGGGTAGGGAGTGAAGAACAGCAAGGAGGAAATTGCATTTAATCCCCACATAGAGTCTGTCCAAAGTTCTGCACACAGGAGTGAACCTTCAAACCAAGCGGAAAGGGGGTCAGGATAAAATAAAAACCCTTCTGAGCTGCTCAGCACAGGGATCTTATTCAAACAAAGAGATGGTTTTTATAGGCCTTTCCACGTGGACAAGAAGGTGCATTCATGGCTCTGGAGCAGGGCACCCTTCCCCCATAACCATTAGGGGAGTTCAGTCCCCACAGAGCTGAGGCTTGCAAACTGTGGCAGGACCTTGTATGAGGGTATTTTTAAGCTTGGGACCTTCCTAAGACTCTTCTTGTTTCAAATCAGAAGCTGTCTGGATCTCTGGGTCTTGAGGACTCCCCTCTCCACTCAGATTTTGGATCTGCAAAAGAGGCGAGCTTCATTTCCAAGGCCCTTCACAGCTCTTGAGGCACCAGATCCCTGGGATAGTGCTTCTCCCCAGCACTGACAGCCTCCCCCTCAGGATGGTGCTCAGAATTTGTAAGCAAGGGCTTAAACTTAACCTGATTTTATTTTTTAAACTTTTATCTTTTGTTGAATACTCTGTCTGCTTTGGCTGCTGGAGGGTGAACCTGCAATGTTACTCAGTCCTGCAGGAACAGAAGTTACTATTATCTCTCTGGTCTGACAGAGAAATTGCACTAAGAGTTTTTCTTACCTTCATGCCAGGTTCACCTGCGAGGCCAGGTTGTCCTATTGAGCCAGGCGGTCCCTGGAAAAAAAGAAAAAAAAAAAGAAAAAAACCATTGTAACGAAGTAGAAAGCAAGATCAAAGACATAATTCCTTTAGCAGAGCCCTCCTGGGACAGCAGAGCCCTGGTTGCAATGCAATTACTTCCCCGGAGTTGGCTCAGGGTACGCAGCATCAAAGAGGCCCAGTACCCCCTCGTGCCTGGTTCCTGGGAGGGCTCTGCTCGTCTCTCACTCCTCCTCTCTCCCCAGCCCTGTGGTAGCTCCCCAGCCTCCTCTGCCAAACACCTCTCTCTAACTCCTTCCAGCCCCTCTGCTTTCTGAGGTTAGTAACCATGCTGGGGAGCAGCACTGGGACTAGCTGGGAAAGAAGGGAAAAGGTCCAGAATGAGACTTGAAAACCCTTCACAAGGGTCCAGCAGGTTGGCTGATACAGTGGATAACAAAAATGCTCAGCTGTGCTCTTGCTCCCTCCTCACCGCTTCCTGCAACCCCACTTCTCCGTTAGCTCTGATGTGAGCACGTTCTCCGCACCACCAGTCTCGTTTGGGTTAGGGTTAAGCATTAACACAGCCTCAGGGTTTGCAGGCACATTGAATTGCCCTGCCTTTGCAGGAGCAGCTGCCCCAGGTGACACAGCTTCGAGCAGAGCCATCGGCCCCATGGTCCCGGAAAGGCAGGGACACAATGGTGTGGCCAGCTCTGGGACAGCTAAGGGAGCCAAGAACAGCAAGGTTACACCAAACCCTCCAGCACAAACTGTGGTCAGATTAGCTTTGACATCCATCACCCACTTTCTCTGGCTGTAATGGGCCAGCAAACATCCTAATGTCAATGACTGGGCTCAGACCAGAAATCCATGGCCCAAGGCTGTTGCCAGGCTATATTAAGTGAAAGAAAGAAGTTGGCAGATGAGATAACATGGCCCTATCTATCTGAGCATAGACCCTGGTAGAGGGGCTTGGCATTCCTCAGAGCGCCAAAAATGAGTGCCTGACCTGTAAAACTATGGGAAGCGAGATGGAAAGACAGAAGATGAGAGAATGACCTTGCAAACTGTTCTTACTCAGTGTCCAGCTGCCATGCGCAGCCTTGCGACAGAGGGGTCATGTTCATTAGCTGTCTTCAGTACCAAGATCAACGGGGAGCTTTAATCTTTGTACATTTTTTACTACCTCTGGGAAGCATGGGGAATGAGAATCTGTAAAACAAGCCCAAAGATGGGACAGCAAAGCTTGTCTTTAAAGGATTTGAGTGGTTTATTTACTTATGGTATTTGCTTTCCGGACAACAATCTCCCTTCTCTTTACAGTTGGGAATAGAAGAAAAAAGAGCACAGTCAAGGGAGCACTCTGCTACCCAGGGAATAAAGCCAGTTCCTGGCTTGCTGAAATGGATTCAAGCAGCGGAGGGAGCAGGGTGTGTGTTGGGTTTACGAACAAATGGTCAAGTCACGCAATGAGAAAAATCAAGCTCCAATGAAAGCAAAAATCCTGCTTTGGTTTCTCCAGAGGTGCCAGTGCAGAGAAAGGCTCCTGGAAGAGTCACAGATTTGAATAAAGCTCTGTACTTTCTTGGTTGGCAACATCCAGAGTGGCTCGGTAGCAGCTTTCCAGCTCCCCAGTGTGGTTTACCACGCTTAGAGCTCTCTCCATCCAGTCTAGCAGCCATGAGAATGGAAACTTTCATGACTCATACACTTTGCAGTAGACTGCATTAAAAGCCACCTTCACTGCTGTTTTCACAACTGAGTGAAACATCATGTCTATATTACAGCTCGGGATCTATGGAAAGGAGCTACCCAAGGGGAACTGGCACATCTGGTATAAGCAGCCAAGACTATAATACTTCAAGAGGAGTGAAATCAAGCCAAGACTGCAGACAAGTTAGGGGAAAACCATGGAGGCATCTCCTGCACTCCATCAGGGCACTGTTTGGCAGCTGCTGCTGCTTTGGTTACGGTGTGTTTGTGCCACTGCTTCATGGCAACGGCAACCCAAAAGCACAGTCAGCAGCAAAGGCATTTTCTCTGAGCTTCTTCCATTGGCTGCAGCGGCTTGCGATGGGACTGCAGCAGCAATCCAGGTGGGCTGACAAAACTGCGTCTTGTCAGCAACAGCACCAGTAAGGGGGAAAGAAAAGACAGGTTTTCGGTTTGAATTGTTACTGTATTTGGTGCAGAAAGGTGGTCCCTGGTGTAGTTGTAGAGTCATGCCTGTGACATGCTTGTCAGTGTGGTCAGCTTTTAAATGTTTCTCTTGTTATGAAGATGGGTCTGCACATCTACCAACTCAGTGTCTATGGGCTGTGATAAAAATGATGCTCAAATTTCTGATTTTCACTGTTTACTTTGGAAGTTGACTTTCAGACTTGAGGGAAATCCTTCCGCTTGTGTCCCCAGGTGTGGAAAGATGCACCTCTGCACATATACTCGTCCCTTAGTCCTGCTACTCTCGATGCAAGGGGAAAACAATTAGGAGCAAAGATTAGACCTACCTTATGCCCGATTTCTCCCAAAGGCCCAGGTGGCCCCTGTGGTCCTTGTGGACCCTGAAATAGAGACACAAGGCTCTTCTCATACAGCTGTTTTCATTTCTGAAGGGCCATTGCTTCCATGGCCTGTAACATAAAACACCAGTTCCCTCCCACATCACAGTGGAGCTACGCAGCATGCAAGAGATTGCCAGTGAGATGAAGAGGCCAGCAATGGGTGTGCTGAGGCACCTTAACAGGCAAACAACAGCTCAGAAGGCCCTTCATCTTTCTGGCTCCCACCTAAAACAACTGCATTTGGCAACCTGAAAATGCTTGGTTTATCCTCTCCCTTCACAGTCCAGGTCAGACATAGACACAGAGAAGAGGAGATGACCCCTCTTCCTGCTTTGGTGGTCCTCTTTGCCCTCCTTGAGGTCTGTGTCTTCACCTGTCATCTCCCAGTTCCTCCCCCAAAGCTGTGGGCTCAGTTCTGACACCATTAGCCTCCCTCGTGGTCCCCCTTCAGCTCTACCTACCAATCCAGGCCAACTCCTTCTGTTACATCTGACCCTGTCCCAGACCCAACCTTGCCCTTCTTTTCTCCCTTCCCTTTGGAAATCCAGCCCAGGCTGTATCTACAGTCTCCCTAGTTGATCCACAGCCCCCTTTTGCTTTCCAGAGGTCTGACCTTGTCTTTCCTCATGCCTCCTAGGACTCTAGCCAAGTCTTTCACATCTCTGACCACGCTAGAGCTGGCAAGGAGAGAGAAGCTGGGAAAGGGAATAAGTGGTGGGGAAGAGACAGAGAAAGAAATGAAGCATTTGTGTGTGCAAGGAAGGACAGATGAAGAGAGAGTGATAAGACACTTGCCGGGTTGCCTGGAGCCCCTTTTGCTCCTGGAGGTCCAGAAGGTCCTTGAATACCCTAGAAAAATTAACACCACCAAGGTCAGCTCCAACCCCATAGCAATCCTTCATGCCTCTCAGCAGTAACATGCATCGCAGAAATGCTACAGTAAAAGGAGTGGAGAGATGGCCCCATAAGTGTGAGACACTGTCCAAATTCTTCCTCCTGGACCAGGGCTCAAAACTTACGGACTTGAGCGAAACCGAGGTTATGAAAGGAAGGACAAGGGATGGACACTTACTGGGAAGCCACGTGCTCCTGTCTCCCCAGTCTCACCCATCTTCCCCTGTGAACACACAGTTGGAGCAATTAGCAGCTGGGAACGTGCTGAGACACCTGTGGTGCTTCAGCCAGAAGAAGCTCCAGTTCCCTGGGCACCCTGTACATGTGGGTACCCCCAGGGGGGACTGATACCACGCCAGGTTTGGCAGGCACTGGTTCTCACAGAGGACATACCTGCAGCCCATCTGGCCCTAGCTTGCCTGGCTCCCCTGGTCGGCCCTGCAAAACAAAAAGACAAAGACACATTAGCAGGAGCATGAACTATTGGTGATGCTCTTCTGCCTCAGCCCATCTACTCTTGCATTTTTGTGTATGAAATATCCCGTCCAGTTTCCTGCAGCTTTTGAAAGGTCAAATGCCCAGCATCCTGTCCTGAGGAACACCCCAACCAGCAGGGACTGTGGGCAATGTGCTGCACAATCTAAGGTTTTTTGAGCAAACACTGCTTTGGAGGAAGCTGGGATTCTCAGGAGACTCAGCACAGCCCTGCTTGGCAGTGCATGAAATAAGGGAGATTCCCCAACCAAATTGCATTCACAGGGCCACGTGTGCTGTGCAGGGGATGGGGTCCATGACATTCAACGGTAGGACAAGGGTCCAGCTCTTACACCAGGCTGCTGCCAAAGGAAGAAACTCTCTCATGCACCCATCTCAGAGGCTATCATGGACCAGGCTCACCCTGGATGAGGGTCTGCTTGGGCAGGGTATCTGCCAGGCTCTCTTTGCACTAGGCATCTCTTGCCCTGTGTTTTTTCCTGTCCTAATCTAATTAACGTGAATTACATAGAACAGGTACATATTCCCTTAGGTCTTATTTTACCAGCCGTGTTAAATTGCTCTGATTTTAGTGCTGCGTTCACATGTAGCAGTCAAATGCACTCACTGCCAGTTAAAGCTACTCCCATTCCTGTAAGGGACTCTATTTTTTAGCAGAGGCCCTTTTATGTTTGTGGACTGCCTCTGTATTCAGGGTCTCAGACCCAAGCACCAAGGGCCCTGGTGCCCATGTTGGACAGATTTTACTCTGGTTGCATGAAAGACTCATCCCTGCTTGTTGATCCTCACGGACCAATTGAACATCCCCTGTTCCTGGGGTAGTATGTGACCTTGATGCTGCCCAGAGCATTTCACAACACAGCTAAGAGCAGCCTTGGCCAACCTGGCCACCCACTGGCACTCACCTTGACACCTCGTGACCCCAGCTCGCCTACCGGTCCATCAGGCCCTCTGGCACCCTGGAAAAAGGCAAAACAGAGGCAAAAATAAGAACAAAGAGTATATATCTCACTGGAAAATACAGCAGTCATCCTAGCTTTGGCCACTAGGAAAGTCCACGAGATCAGACCTGGCTAAGCCAACCTGTACCTGGTTGGGTTGAGCACAGCAGCTCACAGCCAAGGACTCAGAAGATCCTTTCTGTGTTTTGTTGCTTCATTTCTCACCATTACCAGCACACAGCACCAAAATACTTTTTATTGCTGTTAAACCAACTACCAACCACAGACCAAAGCCAGAGCAGAATAGCAGACCAGGAACAGCCCTATTTCAGACACCGGTTACATGACAACAGTTTTGCGATGCACAGACTTGCAGTTCTAGCTTTATAGATAGCAAACCTCTTCCTTCCTAGAAACCCCGTTTTGCCAACTGCCCCTGCCCTTAACTCTTGCCATACCACCCTGTCTCATGGTCACAATCAGGGCAATAAATCTACAAAATACACTGAGGCACATGAGCCCCCACCATACAGTACCTTTACAATTGTCCTGTGCTCCAAACTGCTCCTAAAGAGCAGGGTGTATTTGCTGGCAGCTGAACTCCAAGCCTTCAGCTTCAGTCACCTGCTATTTAAAGAACTGGCTGCTGTTAAGGATCAGACAGGTGCTCATGCATATGCATGCTGGGAGGAGCGCAGCCTGCCGTGCCTGCTTTGGCATGTCTGGTCCTATGCCCAGCATCTGCTCCTGGGTGTGTGCATGCATGCAGCAGGCATGAGGACCTCGGGAGGTGTATGGGACACGTACACTGCTGCAAATGCTCATGGCACGTACAAGAGTCCAGACAGTGAGCGATCCTGGACGTGATTAGCTAAAATTGAACAATTCGTGGTACAGCTCGGGCATCCTTGAGGAAGGGGTGTCCTTGTTCTTCCAGAGGGTTCTAAGTGAGGAGAGCCCTGGAAAGAAGGGATAGCTGTGATCTAGCTTTCAAGCTAATTTCAGAAGAGCTGAACGCACAGCCCTCTGCACCATTCGAACCCCAGAAACCAGTGTGTCACACTGACAGAGAATAAACAGAGCCACGGTCGGGGAAAATAAAACAGTAAAAAAAAAAGGCATATCGAGAGACTCTATTAACGCACATCATGTTCATAATCAGGCTATGAGCTCAGTTAGGACTCTTAGGCGCTCCTGAAATATAAATAATAAATAAAAACACAGAGCGGTGCTAGAATGTAGTGGTAAGCGGAATCCTGAGAGCAGGCCAACGCGGAAATAGAGAAAACAGGAGCCAATGTGCTTAATCGGGATGCAAACTGAGTGCCAAAAGTAATAACAGAGCTAGGGAGCCAATGCGTTAGAAAAGCAACTCCAATATGACAGGCAAAGAGAGAGAGACTCACAAAGAAAGGCAGTGTAACAGCAGAAGATGCATAGGAAACTTAGCCAAGTTATTACAGCAGACAAACATTGTCAATATAAAATAATGCAAAAACTTCTACTGCGCTTGGCAAAACCCCGTGCCGCTGAGTGTACCAGAGATTAAATAACCAAAAGCCTGCATTGCGTGCCAGTAAGACACAGCTCTAAAGAATGCTCAGCCTGGTCTCCAGGACAGATGGACAGAGAAGGACTGTGCACCAGATGGGAACACCACAACCACATGGGGTGTTTCACAGGTTGGTGCTTTGCTGATGTAATGGCAGCTCTCACCAGCCCTAGAACCCAAGCGCCCCAGCCCATTCTGGCTACTGGATCAGAAAGCAGTAAAGACCAAATCCACGTCCCTATAAACCTCAAAGCACAGTGACATAAAACAGAAGGTCATTTAAAAGTAGGGCTACTGACAGCTCAAGTCAGACAGCACTAGGTTGGAGTAGTGGGAAAGCAGAGCTTGGAGGCATCTGGGGAGCTGCCTGGGTGACCAGGACACCCAGCAACCCAGCAAAATACACAGACCTGCCCTGGGCTGGGTACTGGGCTGCCCAAAGAGAAGGGAGGCATCAGCATGTGTATGGCACTCGCACCCTAGGAAAGCACCCTGCCACCCAAATTCTCATCCTCCCTGGAAAACAAAGTGTTCCCCTCCTCTTTGAGCAGCCATTCAGATATTTTGTGCAATTACATCTTTATTATACGAGATGATGGGGTGACCTGCTTGTGAAGAAGGGGAAGGGTGTGCAGAGGGGAAGGATTTAATAGCTCAGCCCTCGTATTACAAAAGGAGGGAGCAGGGATCAGAGACGAGTGGGACATAGAAATGACAGTGATGACCCAGGTTAGAGGGTTCCATTCCAGGACAGATGCTGCTGGGGAAGGAAAGTGGGATGCGTCTGGCCCTTCCAGACCCATCTTCTGTAGCCTGTCCTGCCCCTTTGCCAGTGCTGGGCTGCTCTAGGCTGGGTTGAGGCTGTTGGGTGCCCTCAGGCCTCACTCAGCACTGCAGCAAGGGCAGTGATGGCTGTAGTTCTCAGCAGTCCAACCCGGCAGGGCTGGCTGGCTGGCTGGCTGGGGAAGTGTTTACGGTATCCTTGTTTCTTCCAGCAGAGCCCTGTCACCAGCATTGCAGGATCTGCCAGGGCAATCTCACTTCACAGCAGTCACCTGCCTAATCCCATCACAACACATCTCATCGGCATCTGACCTAAAGAAGGAGAAAGTGACCCTGTATTTGCAAATGCATGTGGCAAGCTTCATCTTCTCCAGCCTCCTGGGCTGAAACCCAGGATAAAGGCTTCTCCTAATTTGCCCTGACAGGAAAGGCTACATTTAGTCAATTAGTTAAATCTTTAAAACTCTCTTTTACTGACAACGCCGGTTAGAGATGAGCGAGTGAGGTCCTGGCAGCTCTCCAGGGAGCATCCCATGCCAAATGCCGCAAGGCACAGCATGGTGCCTTTCCCCTGCAGACCTGGCGGCTTGGCCTTGCAGGCAGGGCTGAGCGCAGCTCCCTGGGCTCCCCTTGGACTCCCTCTGCTTCAAAATTAACTGCACAGCCAGGCATGCCTACCCTGAGCATGGCAGGGCAGACAGACCAGGGCAAGTGTGTAGAGAGGCGTCTTGGGGATCGTCATCCTAAGGGTGTGTACAGCATGGACCTGTCCTAAGAATGGGGTAAGAAGGGTGCAGAGAAAGGCATGGCTTTATCACTGGTGTCAGCATCTCTAGGAGCCCATGGAACAGAGAAGGAAGCTTTTCTTTAGTCTGCCTTACTATTTATATGGCAGTACACAGCTCAGGAAAGGTCCCACTGGGCCAGGGCTGTACAAACAGTGCAAGCTTCAAGTAGCTTTACAATGTAAACAGGAAAAAAAGGAAGGTTAAATCGAGATCTGTCTGCTCATTTGCACATGGGCAGCCACGGCACAGACAGATAAAGGTTCACGGCTGATGGAGCATTTGGGAAGCTGCTCAACTCTATCACCAAAGCCAGTTGGACACGAATATGTGGCTCAAAGGCATGCCATGTCCATCTCAAAGCAGCTCACTCAAGGTCACACAGGGAGTCACAGCACAGGGACATGCCTGGGCAGTCCCACTGCAGCCCATGAGCCACAAGACCAAGTGTCATCGCTCATTGCTACCTAAACAGATGAGTTTCCCCTTTTGTTTGTGTTGTCAGGAAAGAGGAGCCAAATTGGTATCGCACAGGAAATGGCAGCTCTGCAACCCTGCGTCTGAATGCTGATGTTCCAGCTGCAGTAAGTCACACTTGTGCTGAGGTCCTGGATCTCAGCAGGCAGCAACACACTCAGGGCTGGGCAGAGCCCAGCACTTCTTAAATTCTAGTTTCAACATCTTATGTGGGCACATTTTTCACTGTAATCCCTGCGTAGGTCCCCACGGAGCTATGTAGTAGAAAGCTAGCATTAAGTCCTTGCAAGTCTCACCTGCAGTCACATTGTGCCCCCTCTAACCGTGAGTTACTTTTAATGTAGGCTCCACCAACAGTAGCAAAGTAGGTCACAGTGCCCCACGATCTGTGGGTACACAGGCCAAGACAGTATTTCCCTTAGAGATGTGCAATACTGAGCAGCACTATCAGCAATCCCAGACTAAACAAGTGTTACGATGTTGGCTAGATAAGAACAGCATTAGCTCACAAATGCAGGGGGATTCGGCTCCAGGCTTTGCAATTCAGGCCTATTGCTAGTCCATGTGAGGCAATAGAGATATACCCTGCTGCTAGAGTAGACAACATTCCTGCAGAACAAAGCTAAATGCTCAACAAGGTGTTTCCACAAAGCAGCGCTACATTTCCCTCTGTTTAAACAGATACTCCGAGCTCAAAGAGAGACAGTAACCAGCCTCTGAATAGCAGAAGCATGAACAAGCAGTCAGTAGCTCTTTTCCAGAAATCCAAAGCTTCTTCCTTACCCCTTTATCCAAATATTGATATTTCACTATCACAGTCTGGCCAAATGAAAAGCAAGCAGATGCCTTGACTGAAGCTGAAGGGAGACTTTGCTGGCTGTAGATCTGTAGCTAACTTTTCCTCAAACAGTTCTAATGCTTTTTCAGCCAACTAGAAATATCTCTGTGAGCAAAACAATATACCTCTGCTTTTCTTCCATGAACAACTACTCAGCTGGGCCAGGACAAAATAACTATTTTCAGGTTTGCTTTGATACCACCACTTTACAAATCCCTGCAGTCAGTGATGCTGCGAAGCATCGGGTCCGTGTGGCAGAGAGCGAACGGTCCCCTCCCGCACGGAGCGGCAGAGTGCTGGGAGTGCAGGTGTGCACATCTTAACTCGTCTTTGCAGGCTTCACCTGGGCAATAGTTAATGCAGGAGCTTGATGAATGAATGGCACAGTGGAAAAGAGAAATATGCTTTGGGATTTGAAAAGCTCCTCTGAATCGCCTGAGCCAGTACCCAGCATCCCCTCTGGTGAGAGGATAAAATGCCAGAAATATCGACAGACACCTTGGCAGAAGAACAGGGCAAGGGAATTCACTTTACAGCAGGATTTTAGGTGCAGCTTTATGATCTGAGTTGCAAAGTCATGGCTCCAGTTGATATTTAACCTTTTGCAGAGATTCTCAGTCAATACCTGGGCTTTTTAATATCGCTATCCTCAGCAGAGGATGCTGGAGACCACACGTTTTCCTGCTGTGAGGAGCTGATTAACAGAAATGTGCTTTTGAATTTAAGTGAGATAGGGTGAGGGACTTGCTGAATCAGCCGCCTCCAAATTTAAACCTTGATTTGGTTAAATAATTAGGTTTAAACATGTGCATAGCTGTCACTAGCTGACTGTTAAGCACATGTCTAAGTGCTACACTGAGTACAGATGAAGGGAAATAAGCCTGGGCTCACATGTCCAAGTTTCTTGTCCTTAGGGAAGAGGAGAGGGGAAACCACATTTGTGGAAGATTGTTCAGTATCAGTCTGATGGGCGAAACAAAGACTTGGGAAGGAACAATAGGCCTGTCATGACTAAAAGAAGGTTACAATCTTAAAAAAAAATTCTTTTTAAAATTTGTACTTATATCTTGACAATACAAAAGCTATCACGACATAAATACAGACCCCAAAGAGTCTCCATTGTCTTTTACAATCGAAACCATATTTGCTATTTACGTTTTCTTCAAAAGCAAAATTACTTTAATGAAGTATCCACAAACAGGGCTCATGGAATCCACAAACATCTGGAGGAGGCTATATTCATGTTTCCACTCTGAATTGAATTACGTCCCTTTTGTAAACTAGGATAGACAGAGGGTAATGTCTGAAATTACAGTTGGGGGATCATTTCCCCATCCTGAGAAAACCAAGAGCTGGAATAGAAGGACACACTAAGCAAACAAAGAATACTATGTGCCTGGAATATCTTCTGAGAGTATGAAGAGAAGGAAAACGTGAGAGAGAGAGATACAAACCAGAAATCCTCCAGGCAGGAGATCTGCTGGTCCTTACAATACCGACTTTCCCACATCATATTCACTGAAATCTGTAGGATTTCAGAGAAAAGCCTGAGTTCCTCCTCTCTGTTGGGGATCTTTGAAAGAACGTCTGTCTCGCAAATTCTGTATGGATTATATCACTGTGGTGCTCAAACGCCAAATCTCCACCATGCCACAGTCCAGCAGCGGGTGTTGAGGGCAGGATTGGTGCAGGGCACCAGCAGCAGATCCAGACGCTCAGCGCCCGCTGGCAGAGGCTTACCCCTCTCTGATACCGGTGTCCTTAGGGCAAGATCAAGACCTTAATGCACCCTCTTCCCCAGGCACTGCCTCCTGTTCTACCTCCACATTCTGCACTTCCTGAGGTGACTCTTTGCAGGGCTCTGCAGCCAGCCGGGATAGAGCCACTGCTGCATTTCTGGTTTTCAGGGTTTGGGTGCACTTTGAAGTCTGGGCTTCCTCAGTGGAGGAATGTCCAGGGGGAGGGACTGGCACAGGGTCTGCCGGACTCAACATCTGGAGAGGAAATGCAACGGAAGGCCATAAAGCTGAACGTCTCTACCATGTGGTATGTCATTTTGAGGATGGACAGTGCTGGCAGCAGTTGGTGTCCTGCAGGATTTCTCCTGAGGGTTTGGCACCCTCTGTCTGGATCTAGCTACACCCAAAGGTAGGTCCCTGCTGTGCCAGCCAACCTCCTTTCTTAGCAGCTGAATCTAACTTTGTTCTTGGTTTTACCTCCTGTGATAATAAATATCCCCTTTGTCATTCCTGACAGTATGAGCGGAGCTGAAGACGGCCTGGTCAGCTGTACTTTCCTTGTGGGTTGAGGACTTCAGGCCAATGCAGATGTAAGAAGCTGAAGAAGATTTATGCGCGTGAATCTTGCACAACCCAAGAGCCAAACACTGCAGTTGCACGCAGCTGCCTGCCGTAAGGAGAGGCCTAGTGCCAGGGGATGCGGCTGGCATCCCCGGCTGGCGGCTGGGAGGAGGCAGCGCTGGGACTCCTTCTCTGTCACTGCACACATTAAAGGCACTGGCAGAAATGTCTGATCCCCTTGGAAGACCCACCTCTCCAAGAGCCCACACAGTCGGCAGCCTGGATTCATTCAGAAGGTGTTTTCCATTCAGCTCTGCGCTGTAGTTTTAACTTGAGATGTTTTCTGCTGTTCATTCAAAGCCTCCCATGAAAGAATGCCTCCAGTTTCTCATCTGTCATGATCATGGATGTCCCAGACAGCTCAGTTAATTGCTGCTATGTAGCACAGAGAAACCTCGCTCCCCAGGGGACCCTCCAAGAGTGGAGCTGGAGAATGAGATCCATGGGCCTTCCCACCAAGGAGAACAGAGGCAAGGAAGCTGTTTTTCCCAGCCAGAAGTTAAAAGCTGAACCCTGATATGCATCTGCTGGTCTTGGATGATACTGGTGTCCTTCTAGCTGTGTTTTAAAGCTTAAAGCTGTTCCAGGGTACAGAACTCTGTGGTTATAAAGCTGTCTAGTTGGTTATTCCATTTCCCTTTGCTGGTCTCAGCTATTTGAAGAGAGTATTAGCCCTGGCATAAGGAAACATGTGCAATCCTTGGCTGTCCTGAATTCCCCAAGCAGGAGTTGCAGTAGAAGCAGAGACTGGGGGTGGGTAAAACGTATAGTTTACTCCAGCCTACGTCTTTGAAAATGAAACATGGAAACAGACATCATAAGATCCTTGGAGAGAGAAATGCAAAATATGTTGTTGTTGGGGACTTCACCAGAACCCATGTGCACTCACTATTAATACTTTGTAAAGCAGCTTGACAAAGAAAAACAACCCAAAGCAGGGATGCTCCTGCAATAAATGTCCCGTTGAAGAAGAAAGATTGAAGAGCTCAGTGGGACATGGGTTGGATGTCACAGGCAGGAAAAGAAGCAGCTTTGGCAGGTCTAGAGATCATTCTGCTGTTGGCTGTCACCCAAACAGAGCAGGAAGAACCATACCTGATCTGACACAGAGTGCTTGTGAAATATTTATCCAGTGTAACGTGTACTTGTAGCACTATCAGTGATGCTAGTTAGTACCGTTACACAGCCTTAGGCTGGGGGTCTGCTCTTTCCAGGCAGAGTGAGGATCACATATGCTTTACAGTGTGGTATTGTTTAGATATGTAGAGATAAAATCAAGGCCTTGCATTGTGGGCTGGAAAAACCCATAGAAAAACACAGGACATGCTTATAATTTGATCTACTGACAATGCAAAACACACCTTTCTCACAACCCTGCAGAATGCTGCCAGAAGATATTAAACCTGCGAGACTGAAAGGGAAGACACGGGAGGAGTAGGCTTTTCGGCTCCTTGTCAGCTCTCTTTCTGCCTGCCTTGTCTCTTAATTCTATTTCACGGCATAGTATTTCCTGCTTTATCTCTGGTTAAATCACAATGCTTCACATCTCAGCTGTTCTCTGTCCTTTGGCAGCAAAGGCACCTTTTCTGGCCTTCCACCTCCACCCTTTTCCCCAGCTCAGATACATCCTCAGATGACTAAATCTTCACCATCCTCATCAGAACTGTCCGTAAACCCTGTTTTGACACTGCAGGTAGTTGGAAAAGACAAGCTGGACCACTTCCACGACAAACTCTACACTGGGACACCCCTCTACCCATACGTGTCACTTGCATTCGCAGCCCTGGTAAGACTTGCTTCAATGACCGCAGTCTTTATACACAGCAGAAACATGGCTGTGGAGGTGCTGCCCCAACTGCTGCTCATCTTCACACCCCCAGGCTAATCTACTGGATTACTATTCCAACGGCTGAAAGAGGAGAGGGATAAAAGCTCATGGAAATTGCTTACCCTGAGGCCTTTCATCCCTCTTATCCCTGGTGCACCACGGACTCCTGCTGGACCCTGGAAGGGGAAAAGGGAAACAAAATGAAGATGGAAGAGGAGGAAGGCAGCAGCTGTTGGTAAGATCCCACATCCCTACGTGATCTGCAGGGGTCTCAGACACAGACCATTGACCAGTAGGTTGGTTCATTAAACTCTTGCCAAAGACATTACCATTTTTACTTGTCTATAAATGGTCTTTTTTTTTTAACTCACTGATTGTCTTTGGATTATGAACATTTAGGCCAAGGACCCTGGCTGAGTATGCTTAAGTATCTGCAGCTTGTTGTCTAAGTGGTGCGATTTGAAGAGAAGTCGAACATCCAGAATTCCCTCCGAAGCTATTAAAAGCAGCTGTTGCTCAGTATCTGTATAAAAATAATAATAACCAGGATCTGTTTTTCAGTTGTCCAAATACAAAATCAGACACCTCATCTTAGGTATCCAAGTCTGACCTTTTCAGACAAATACTGATTTTATCTTCAAGTAATTGTTGCCCTGTTAGTGCTGCATAAATATTCATACTGGCAGATAGATGCTAATTTCATTTGGACTGTTGGTGTTGCGGGTGATCCTGTTCTTCTTACACTTACAGAAAGGTTTCAGGTTTTCTTTTAACTTGTATTTGTATGCACTTGATTCATTAATGTGCATACAGAAAATGCAGAAGAAAAATAAACAGCTTTTTTTTTCTGTTAGAATATTTATCAGTTTCAAAAATTAAAGGATATGTTCAATTAACAGGACTTATTTCTGTATTATAACTTTAAAAACCCATATGTAAAGTTAGTGCCTTCTGCTGTCAGAAAAGAAAACCTCAGAATGACACATTCCATTCTTACTCTCTCAAACATTCCACATCAAGTTTTGCTATTTATATATTAATAGCTTTTACCAACTGTCAACCCTCCAAACTCCACCAAGGATCAGAACAAAATTGGACTGTGATCTTCCTACTGCTTGTACCACTGCCACTAATAAAGATTTTACTTTTGGAATGGAGGTATCTTTCTGCATGGCATGTAAGTTCAGAATACAAGTGAATACAAGTGCTTAGCTGTTCTCACTCAAGATGGAAAAATCAGTGGACTGTAACTATATTTGTAATCACAGTAAATCTCAGTTTTGCTAGTGAGGTCAGTAGCGACTGGCACAGACAAGTAATAGATGTGTCAGATGCCTGTTTTATAGAGATTTTTATGATAAACACATACTGAAATGAAATTCTTTGTTGGTATTTGGAATATCCTCCTGGAAGTCTCAGCCTACCCCAAATAGCTTATGAAAATACAAGTACAGAAACATTCGTTGTGATGGCAAAATGTTGAGGGAACAACTAGATACCATGCTGCGAATTTCAAGGAACTGCTTAGGAGAAGACGAGTGACCTTTAGTATACCTATGTGTACACATTGTTTTCAAAACTGTGTATTAACACAAAAGATGTACCATGAGGCTGAGCAAGAAGAGGGAAAAGGAGTTCACAAGCTTCAGTGAGCGGAAATTAAGGGCAGAGTTTCCTACCATTGACTATACCTTTGCTTCCCATTCCCAGTCACCCTCTATTGAATTAATCAGCCATCAGAGCTGCTAAGGCTCACTGGATAGCTGGATAAGGCTCACTGGATAGCTTAATCTCAAAGATTTTAACGGTTTAGGACAAACAACAACAGCATGCCTCAGGTCTGGCTTAAAAAGCAAATAATGAATATTTGGTGGAGAAACAGGCAGAAACAGCTGGAGTTAATGAGTGGGGATTTGATATTAGGGGATTATTTGATTTACTGGCTTTGTGGGAAGTTTGACTTATTGAATTATGACTTTTTAAAATGCAGTCTTGGAGGAAACGTTTTGCTTGGATGAACTTCTATTTGCCTGCAAGAGAACAGGGAACTAAAGGAAGCGGAAGGACCTGAGGACAGTCTCAGCTCCCAGAGCTCTGCAGAGAGGTTTCAGCATCTCCAGTCAGACCTGCTGCTTCAAATCATACTGTTGTTGTCACGCCTCAGTGAAGTAAGACAAAACTCAGCCTCAACTAGAGGTACTAGTTAGTGCTGCACTAGACAGTGCTTCAGGACTGGGAGCTCTTTACCACAGGGCTGGTGCAGAACCTGCCTCTGCCGAGGACGCACTCCTGTCCTCTCCTGTGCTCGCAAGTCATGCAGCAGCTAACGTGCTGGGAAAGTTGCTGAAAAAGGGACATCTAGAGATATCCAGCTGCCTCCTAGACTTCTGGCAACAGAAAGTGCTGCCGTGAGGGGCCACAGAGCAACTCGCTGCTGGGGGCTACAGGCAGCATTATGCTCCTTTTATTGTAAGGGCCTGGCTAGTGCCATGTTGCTGCTCTTCAGCTAGGGACGGGTCACCCCAAGGTGCCGCTTGACCTCAGACCTTTTCTTTCCCTCACATCCATTGACTTGCAAGTGTGAAATCTCTCTCCAGGCAGCAGCTGGCTGCAGCCAGTGGGCCCAGAGCATCCCCGAGCTCCCCACAGTGGGTAGAGCTGCTGCTGATCTGGAGGCCAAACCTTTGGCACTGCGCGGGCATTTCACTACTGTGATCTTCCTCCCAATTAACACCACTGTGGGAATTCACACACTGAGCAAAATCCATTCCCTGTACTTGCCCAGAGCTGCCTTTCTTTTGGTTCCAGCAAACAACATGGAACGGCATTTGTGCTACTGGGAGAGCCGGAGCTCTGTCTAAACAATGGCTGTGGGAAACTGGAGCCACACTAAAATGTACCTCCACATCAATTGCACGCTCCAGACACAGCTGCCCATGTACCAGATGAGCCCATCCAGATGGAGGGTACATCTGGGGGCAGCTGTTCTGCTGCTCCTCTCACTCCAGCAAGGGTCTCTGAAAATCCATGGTGCAGTCACTGCATGATGTAGTCACCACATGACACAGTTGCTTTATCGCCATACTGCCAACAATTCCCAGCAGAAATAGAGGGCCTTGCAATAACACCTTGAGCTAGTAGCTTGTGTCCTGCTAAAAGATTGAGGCCGGATTGTGAGTTTTGGATCGCCCATTAGGTAAATGGGCTACAAAAGTTTGAATTAAGCACCACTTTTTTTTAGCATCTCTTTCCAAGTTGCTCCCTCCCATGCCCCATCCCTTTCCCCATATCTCTTGTTCATATCACACTCAAGTCAACTAGGACACAGTTGCTTGACTCAGCCCATGAATGCCCAGGATATGGGATGCTGATTTTTGCTGTGTGGTATTACAAGGTGATGATAGCCTTTACTTACTGTTGGTCCAGGAATTCCAGGAAAACCCACTCCTCCTGGTGTCCCAGGGTGCCCCTAAAAGGGAAGGAAGAAGAATACACCTGGTGTGAAATCCCAGGATCTGCTCAGCCCTTCTTCCACCAAGTAGGAAGACAGGAAAAAAGGCATTGCTGGTTGCTTGCAAGGTCAGGCAGGTCTGTTATTTGTCAGGGTAAAATTGCTCAGGGGCAGATGTGGAAGGCCAGACCGTCAAAAGCTCAACTCCAACTTTGCTGGCAATATAAGCAGCTGGATTCCCTGAACAGCCCAGGAGAGAATGGGCTGAATTAATGTGAAAATCTGTCTTTGGGTCTTGCACTATGATAGACAGGAGGTAAGTGTCAGAGCAAGACAAGATTTTGCTGAGGTCCCCTCTGCTAAACTCCTAAACAAGGATCCCCAAATGGCAGTGCAGGTAGCACAGCAAAACACCATGAGTGTGCTGCCCAAGCAGCCCTGCACGTCCAGCTGCATTGGCAGTTTGGTGGGATGTGAACAACAGATCCCTGTTCCCGGACCCCGACTGTTCAGTAGCCAGGATGCTTGGAAACAGGCAATCCTTCAGGTGCTGTAGCTTGCAGTTCCTGGCTACCTCTACTTGACACAACAGGTCCTCAGCTGATGGAGCTGCAGAACACGTGTCAAAACCCAATGTTTCTCTGAGGGGGAGATTGCTGAACACAACTGCTGGGGAGAGGTTATACCTCAATATCCAGTCAGTCAAATGGCCGTTCCCATCCCTGCAGAGACAGGAAGAATTTGCAGCTGTTGGCATGTAACTAAAAGACCACGAAAAGCTGCACCCTTCACTAGGACAGAGAGAGAGGCAGCAGCAAGAGCGAGAGAATGCAGACTTACTCCTTACCATCGACCCCTTGACTCCTGGAGGGCCTGGGGGTCCCACTGAGCCACGGTCGCCCTAGGAGAGACACAGGTGCATGGGGAAGAGTGAGGACTTTTGCTAACAAGCACTCTGCGCTGGCAGCAACGGGGATCTAGAGCAATGAAACAACTAAGACATCCACAAATTGCAGTCTATGCCATCAGATTTCTACCCGAAAGGCTTCCAGTACAGAATAATCATCACCCTCTTTCAAGTATCCATCTCATCAGAGTAGTTAAAGGATTACAGCAAGAATTGGCTAATCCTCTGTATCCCAAGAGAGGGGACTTTACTATTGCCATCAAACCACCAAGGAACAAGAAACAAGCATTGCACTCAGGACCACCTTCAACTCTGGACAGTGCTAGGACTAGATCCCAGGAGATCTCCAGCCCCTCCTACCCAAGGCATGACATCCCTCTCTGTTCTGCAGTATCATAATCCCTACAAGTTCTGGTGTTTTTAGAGGCACGGATTTGAAAGCTGTGGTCATGAGGCCTTGCTGAGAGCAGGGAATCAAGTTGGAAGAAAAACAGAGATGCTGCCTGGAATAGAAGGCTGGTGCTTTCAGAAGGAGACCGAAGGCATTTTGGGGGAATCCCTATCCTGTGGCTCATACTGAGACCACAGTGTAAACAACAATAATCTGGAGGCCTGCATTTATGAGGGGTTCGGTGCTGGATGCCTCCACGGCCCTCCCTTAAAGATATTATCCCTTCTAAAACAAGCCACCGTTTGGCATTAAAAACTTAACGTACCAAAACCCACACTTATTAATTCCAAAAGTCTTACTTATCCCCACATACAGAACATCTCACTTCCCCTGAGTACGTACTTGGCCCTACAGCTCAGCCAAGAACAGGGGACAAGGTGTAAGCCTCCGTGAGCTGACGCAAGGGCGAGTTGAAGGCATGGCTCTACTGACGAGATGTCGACTGCTCCTTTTTGGAGACTGTGGCAATTCCCACCATGACTGCCTGTACTCGCCCTCGCAGCCCTGGTAAAGCACCGGGAATTAGGTGTGTTATGTTTGTGTGCTTGGGGGGATGAGGAAGGAGGAGTTAGCAGATGCTGCCAAGTAGTTTACGCCCAAAATCTGACCTACCTTCCAACAGCTAAAGTGTAAGGGGAAATATTTTCTAGGCTCTAAGCAGCTTATTAAAAACAAACCCCAGAGTTTGTGTTGTCACCAGTTGGCCCTTGTAAACCAATGTAAGGATATTTTTCCCTCTGAATGCATGGATTTTATTAAGTATGTATTAACTGTATTGTTCTCTTTGATAATCTTTGGATTCCACTGGCTTCAGTCTTAAGTTTTGCAGCTCTCAGGATGGAGATTGCTGACTCAGCTGTGTCTAATGAAAGCATATTTCCCACTTCATTTAGCTCACAACAGCATAGTAAGCTGTAGGATGCTATGCCAACTGGAGGCCTGATTGAGGTTTTGATTTGATGATAGTTATTTCTGTCATCTGCAAGTTTGCCCTGGTAGAGAAGAAGTCTGATGGAAATCACAGCTGTGCTGAGGATCTCTTAGGGCAGATTTTCAAAGAACAGCCCGGGTTTGCCTTGACACCAACATTAACATCATCATGTTATGGAGTCAATCTGCAAGATGAGGATAGCTCATGTGGTCAAGGCACTGGCATGGAAGTCAGAGGGCCAGATGTGAATTTACTAGAGTGGCAATAAAGATCTTCGCATGTCTCCTGCATGGCAAACCCTTTATTCCTTATTCAATTCAGGGCTGCAGCTGCCATTGAGACAGCTCACTCAGGCACCAATTTTCTGTGTAACCACCTTGGACACATCACAGACTCTTCATTCCTCTGTCTTCCTTCTGTAAAATGCAGCCCACATCATGTCATTCCTTTTAGTTCTTGTGTGCCTTGACAGTTTGGACTGAGCCTGCTTCTGCTACTGCCCTACCAGAGACCATCTAGTGTAACGGGCTTTCCAAAGGCTGCTGCAGACAGGCAATAAAATGCATTTGCAACGAACACAGTATAACTGTCACAGAGTCTTGACATCATTACCCAGAGGACAGGGCTTGAAGTAATAAAAGTGAGAGAGAGAACTGATGTGTGGAATGCATCATTTTATGCTCTTTACTATCTTTACGGCTGGACTGTGAATAATTAAACCACCAATGAAAACCAGCAGTCTGCAACTGAGATACAATGAATGACACAGATGATTTGTCTTTGGAAGCCACCCCCGAATAAAATTTTACACTCTAATAGAAAACAAATTAATGTCCATTTACATTTTTTATGGAAAATAAAGCCAGTTTTCTTCCTGAAGGAAGCATGTATCTGTACTGTACACAAGAGGGCACCAGCCCTTAGTAGCGTGCCCAATGCAACCACAGGGGCAGCCAGACTGCATGGTCCTCATCAAATAAAACAGGAAATATTTGGACTAGACTTTGCTTAGATAGGTGGCTGCACTCTTGTACCTTCTCTGCACCTGAGAAATTGCTGAGACCTCCTCTTCAATGCAGGCTCAGCCCTGGTCCTGTGCGACCCCATTGGCAACTCAGCATGGGCTTGTGAGCACATCTCTGCACAAATCTGTCTGTAACCTAAACTCCTTGGACTCCTCCCTTGACCGGGAACACAGGGCTGATGGGCCCCTCATTCCCAGAAAGAAATAGAACTGTCTGTCAAATACAAGTTTTCCAGCAGATTATGAATGAATAAAGCTTAAATTTTCAGAGAATATTTGACAGCATGTCCTTGGAGGGCAAGCGCATGTTAATTCCTAAATGTGAAGTGGATGATTTTTGCCTGGCCCAAGACTAGCTCAGACACCCTGGATGTGCTACATTCCCAGCTGGGTGTTGCACTGACGTGACAACTTAAACCTCCACAATATTCCTCCCGCCCCACTTTCCCTCATCCTGCAAAAGTTCTCACAACCAATTTGTTGCAAGCAATCTTACCTTTTCTCCCATTATTCCAGGCTCCCCTACGGGACCAATGAAACCCATTAGACCCTGAGTAAAGAGAAAAGCACAATTAATTTTCACTTTTATTTGCTGAGAAAATAAACGGTTTCTTTGGTCCACCTTGCTGGTTGAAATAGCACAGCATCCCTTGTATACTGCTCAGTAATTCCTACTGGCTACCAGAGCGGACAGAGTTGCTCCCGGCCATGGGAATGTCTAACTCCACAGCTGGTTCTGCTTTAGGCGCCAGCTGGAACGGCAGCACTAGGATCTGCAAGAGCCACAACACACAGTATAGGGGATGAGTTAAGCACGTTTCGTAGAAAGGCTGAGTCCATAGCATGGCTTTGTTTTGCAACCATTTCCCAAAACGTCAGCGCAGCTTCCCCAAGAGCATCGATAGCGGGAGCTCCTGGGTTGCACAGAGTCTGAGAGTTGCCATCATTTTAAATGCTGTACAGGGTAGACTTCCTCTGGGTTAATCTGAGCTGCCTCAAACCCCTGTGCAAATTAATTTTGCCCTGGAGAGTGTCATGCTGTTGGGATGTCAGTAGGAAATAAAGGTCTGAGGACACAGCCAGAGGGGCCAGCAAGGCACGAGATCTATCATGCTACTCAGAAACTATCTTGGGGAAAAAAAAAAACCCAGTCTAAGCTCAGGATTTGACAACATTTGGGATAAAAAAGAAACAAACAGAACTGCTTTTAATTAGAAAGATGGAAACAGATGCAATCTCAAGCTAAGATTCCTGAGGATTAAAATACAGCAGCCTCCCTACCAACTTCAGCGGGTTTCTGCCTCTAGAGATGCAAAGGACCGTCCTCTCTGCCATGGTAGGCACTCTCTCTCTCACTGCATGATTCTCCTGGCCTCATCCCTAGTCCCAGCAAGGGTCATTGGGAGATATCTATATTTAGTTCTTCCAATGACTCTGTAACTAAAGAGATTCATCTCCTGTTGAAACACTTCATAATCTGCCCACAGTTGGCATGGGTGGTGTCAAAGGAAGCCATGCCTCAGCTTGTTTGATTTTAAGCAACAGTCTGGTGGGTCCTGGGAGGTGGCTGCTGAGCAAGTCAGAGGCAGGAGATGGACTCTCCAGTGGTATCACCCTACTCTTCCTCTTTTTTAGAATAATTTGGAATCTTCAGAATAAATTGGAAAGTTCCTCTATGCAAATGCATCTTACCTTTTTACTTCAACATCAAGGAGGTTTTCAAATGACACACTCAAGAAAACATTCAGCATGAACAAACACAATGGGGAAAAAAGCTACACTAGCAAGGCAACTTCTGGAGTGTGGTCTCAGAAAAGGGAGAGCTTTTCACCCTGCTATCTCCTTTCTGGGGGAACAGCAAGAAAAGCAGCAAAACTTTCCTCTCTGTACTCCTGCTTCATTGCTTTTTCCGTTCCCAGCTCGCCTGACGTGTGCAGTTCGTAGAGGAGCTCTCTGCAGTCTGCGCATCGCTGTGGTTCTGTTTACATCTGTGCACTGGCAGTGTACAGTGATACCACTCAGCTACAGAGGAGCGTCCAGCACTGACAGAGCAGCCTACTCAGAGGTTGTGCAAGTCCTCCTGCCACCAACCCCCTCCCCCCCCCCGAAGTTATGCTCCCAACAAAGCTGTAGCACAAAATAACCAGCCTCATTGCTATTCCCATATGTGTGAGGCTCAGCAGACCCATTCAGAGGCAGAAAACACAATGCGGGTCACTGTCCAATGACTTTTAGAGGGAACAGCTTCTGACCATGACTCCAAACACCGAGAGACTTCATGCATTAACATTCCTCGCATGGTGCAATTAAATGCCATCCTTTGAACATCACTGGAGACAGGAGCTCCTCAATGAGGCATGCTGATGGGGTCAACAAAAGCATCTCTCACTCGGATGCCCAGCTGGCTTCGCCTCTTGCAGGGAGCAGCCACACACTCTCTGCTCCAAGCAGCCCCTGTCATACTCTGGCATGGGAGCAACATCCAGGTAAAAAATGTTTGGAAAAAACTCATGAGAGAAAGCAAAGAGCTTAGCAGGTATGTCGGAGCCTAGAGTTAGACACTTGTGTTAGAAATTCATCCAGAGACCATGTCCCAGGAAACTGGCATGCCACTGAGCTGTGATGGAAATATCAATTAACCATGGGAAGACAGCTACTACCAGGAAAGCTCTACTATCCCATCAGGGGCTTGATGTCACCAACCCTTCTGACATCAGCACTGAAATGGTCTTTGCTGTGCCTGAAGCTGAAGCAGGTCCTGTGCACAAGTGTGCCATTGCGGCCAGGCTGCACGGACAAGACACACGTGGGAGCAAAGCAGTGCTGGACTCGGCAGCAGATTGCCCAATGCAGGAACAAAAGGGAGAGCAGGCAAATTTGCAATATCTGCATATGCAAGGTTGCCACTGGGTGGCATTGCTGAAGGCTGCTAATCAACTATCCTTTCAATTAGACACAAGTGCAGATACACAGCTGATAACTATATCCAGTTACTGAAGTTTTCCAGTAGCTCAAGGCCACAAAGGCAGCAAATGTTAAGGCAGAGGAGAATGGCAAAACAAAAAGATGAAACAAGGAAATGCATTGCTAGGCAAAAATACAATAATAATAAAGCAAGAAAGAATAAATCTGTTCCTTAATTTCCAATTTATCAGAAAAACTGCAGAACAAACTCTTTCCCTGGGAAGATGCTCTCTTTAAGATATTTCTGGGTTACTTAGGTCAGTCCCTGCAGAAGAAGAGAGATCCCTGCTCTTGCAGCAAATAGTGTTACCATTCAGAACAAGACTGTTTCAAAAACACTTCTGAGGGGCATTGCATATTCAAACTCAGGCTTGAAGGCTAATTTTCTGATACGCTGTCCAAGCAGCATCAGCTCCCATCCTAAAAAGTCTCTAAGGAATCTGGGTCATGAAGCAAGATATACCAGTTGTGCTTCCCAGTCAACTTGGTGGTGCTCTACAGATGGTTTGCAGAGCACTGATTGCAGCATGCCAAGCAGCCCACAAACCCAACACCTCCTGAGATCCCTCTTGCTGTCAAAGACGTGCCATTTGTTATTGCAGCTTGTATAGAAACCAGCCGGAGCTGCCAACGCAAGCAGGGTAGAGGCAAACGCCGTACCTGCTGCGCGAGTAAACGTCACAATGGAAAGGGAGCGCAGCCAAAATTTCTGGCCTGGTTTTCACTCCAAAACTGGGGAAAATTCTGTCTGTGCTGGTACATGGTGTTTCTGCTCAAGGGAAGATGTCACTGCTCCCTGTGTACCCAGCAAGAGGAGCATCCCACGGCATGATCGTCATAGAGTAGGGACTGAAGTGAGATGGCAGAGCAGGGACCCTGTGACGTGGCCAGGCTTCCAGCACAGTAGCTCTGCAGTGTTTGCAGCCAATACCGTCTGCTCTGGGCTAAATTAGCTAACATTGCTGCGTCTGCAAGCAGACACAAATCGAGATACATATGTCTAGGCAAAATAAATCTTGGTAAATTATTAAGAGTATATGAAATAACTGGGGGAGATTAGGTAACGATATTCTTCCCTGGCCAAAATGGAATAGACACTAAAGGGAACACAAGCAGCACAAGATTTAGGTTTTAAGAACCAGAAAAGCCACCGGTGGCAAATATTAAATCAAAGCAGATGCGAATTGTGGCCATTACACTAAAATGGCTGCAGCATAACATATTTTTCCCAGGTTCCCAGGGTTGAAAAGAAGCCCTGCATCAAACACGACTCCAGGCAGTGTGTGTAATGATGCACGTGAAGTCCCAGCAGCGGTGGCTGCCCAGATAAAGGCCCACAGTATACAGGAAAGAATGTAAAACATTTATATTAGACAGGGAGTTCAGCATGTCGCTCATGATTCAGTCTGCTGTATTCCCCAGCCAAGGGCATGGCGGAAAAGGGATGGAGATTGTTAAAAAGTTGCTGGGGGCTTGGGGGGGAAGGAAAGGGGGAGGACTGGCGGGTTGTAATTCCTAACTCCTGTCTGGCTTTCCCCATTTATTGTCCAGCCCTGTCATAATTAAGCCCCCCCTCTTGGCTGCATCAACAGAGAGCAAGTCAGCAATGAAGCCTTGCATAAATCATAGCCCATTTGAGAGAAACAACCGAAAGGCGAGCCCAGCGTGAGCAGGGTCTCCCAGGGACGGGACCGCCAGTCGCTCCCAGCAGGAACCGATCATGGCCTTTCTGTTTTACTGGTTCGCTAGAACTCAAAACAAAACAAACCAAGGACAAAGGACGGGAGGGAGTAAATGTACAATCCTCCCATTCAGATGAAAGAAAGGGAAAGTAAAACAGTAAATATCACAGTTTAAGGGAGGACGCTCTGACCCGCAAAGAAAAGCCATGCGGTTTAACCCTCTGTGCACCGGGCTCAGCTGTACCCTGGGGCCACGTTGGGTTCCCACTGCCCTCTGGGGAGCGAGGGAAGGAAAGGTGGAGACACGCTGACAAAACACCTTGTCAGATCAAAGAGGCTGCATACACTACAGTGCCTGTAAATCCCCGAATGAGAGGTCCGCAGCTCAGAAAGGCGCTCTGGAGGGGAAGGTAAATGCATTGGGAAAGGTGCTGCTCTAAGACGTGGGAAACGCTGGTCCAATTCCCTGATTGGTTCTCGGCGACCCATTTGACCTTGGTCAAGTCAATCCATATCTCTGCATGTCAGACCCCACCTGCAAAACTGACATTACAGCACATCCCTCCTTTGTAAGAGCACCACAAGGAAAATACATTAAGGAGATAACCGATGGCACTGGTTTCCTTTGACAAATTATTTTAGAATATCATCTGATATTAGGACAACATGGTTCTCCCTTGAAGGAAGAGATACACGCAAGGGGCAGTGGAGTGACTGCCCTTCCCAGCATGGTGCAATGGGTACATGGCTGATCCTAACATTGCCATGCGAGTGAGCAGGGCTGTCACTTCTTGTACAGGAGGAGGGATTCAAAAAGCTGCTCCTACTATGACAGGACCTCCTCATTCCCATTAAGGATGGAGGTCAACCGTAGCCTCTTTCAGCTGGCACTTCATTGATATTTTCAGTCTCTACTGCAGAGCAGGGGGAGGTCCGTGGGCTTGCGGCACCCTTCCCCAGTTTGCTATCCTGTCTGCTGCAGGGTGTTGCTTCTCCCACTTCTGACCTTCAACATAGACATTTCGGTGACATCCTCCTGCCCTGTATTCCCAGCTCTGGAACAGGAAAGCTGGTGGCCTGGGCCAGAGGCCCCGTATTCTTCTTTATATTCTTCTGCCTCCATCTACTGGCAAGGAAGGGTTAAATCACACGTTTCCAGGGTACAGGGGAGACCAGTAGCTGGAGTCCTTCCAGCACATGAAGACAACAAGCATCTTATGAATGAACTTCCCAAGTCAGTGTCCTTGCAATGGAAAAACAACACATCGGGGACTGCCCTGTGGCTTAAAACCTCATGTTTCCAATGAGAGCTCAAGTGTCACTGGAAACCTTACAGAAACTCCCATGTTTGTCTAAACAGATGTCCCTAGGAAAGGCAAGAGAGCTCCAATGAGATGGATGGCTGATCTTTTCTCATGCTGTTATGCTGAGGGTTTCCACTCAGAGGGAACCCATATGGAAGGCAGAGCAGCAAGTTTGAAAAGTTTGACCACTCCTATTGTGCCCATGGAATAGAAAACATCAAGACCTCCACCAGAGAAAACAGGAGTGAGGTGAAGGTATCTTTTAGTGCCAAGTGACCTGGGTAGCCCAGTATCTCAGAGCTCTGCAAAAAACCAACCTAGCCCCAACACCAAATGCTGAAGCTTAGGTGGAGGGAGGAATGAAACCCCAACACTCCAGCATCGCTCAGCAAAGGTGTGATGGGAAAGGAGGTTATTCTCACTAATCTGGTGCGACATTTTTGTTCTAATGACTTGACTGGTGCGGAAATAGAAATTCTTTCTGGGTGATATTTCTAGACAAAGACTAATTGACTAAGAATAATACAGGCAGCTTTCATACCACTGTGCTGGTTTCAGTGTCAGCGGAGGCCAGCTGTGTTTTCTTTTTGGTGAACAGTGCCTACAGTTTTCATCCAAGGTCAGTCCTGAGGGACGTTAAAGAATAATAATCCTAATGATGCTTTGTCATTCAAGGACAACATCTTGTTAAGGATCTCAAAGCAATTCTAAATATTCATTTTTAACTGTAATACAACAGCATCCACAGGTGCCACCTAAGAACAGGAAGCATTGTGCTAAGCATTGTTCAGAGCTGTCTCACACCTTCCACAGAAGGAAAAATTGAGGCACAGGGCACTGGAAAGTGTTGCCTGAGATCATGCAGAATCTGATAAAGTGCAACTAGAACTCAGATGTGTGGAACAACTTTGCTGCTTCAGTTGTTGCTCTTCATGGAATAAAGTATTAACCATAATATAGAAACGGCTCTAATTTCCAAATAGAAATAACTATCCTTGATAGATACTGAGACTCATCAGATTGCTGGTACTGAAGAGGATCCGTCTTGGTTTTTGTACTGTCTTGGTTAGAAACCCATGGAAGAAGCGACCCCCAGCTGTTGCATACAGGGGAACAAAGAGCCAGAGAGGCTGACAAGCTAAACTGAACCAAACTTGTTGACCATCCGGCAGGGAAAGTGCTGTGAAGGACAACTGTACTGAGAAGCAACACGCTCCTTGCCAGGGCCAGCTGCTGCAGCCAGCTTGGTGTGGTCATGTAGGAAGGCGCAGAACATGTTGGAGGCTCTGTGGCTGCAATTTCAGGGTTGGTGGTGGACAAGTTGGTTCGTTTCAATCACAGAGACATGGGAACAATTGTTTCTTTTTCCTTGATGCCTGTGGTTCCCCTGAAGCCTACAGAGATGATGCATGTCCCCTGCTACCCCAGCAGAATGTTCTCTCTTGTGGTACAATGAAATGCAGCTCAGTGCCTCTCTTCCCCAGGGTCTGGTTTCTTCAGCTGCTATCTCCTCCGCTCCCCCAAAAAATCCAGTGGGAGTCAAAGCAGCACAGCACCCAAAGCCAAGGATCCTACCCTTAAAACCTACATAGGCAAAGCCTGGAAATTGCCCCTTTAGGGATAAGAGGAATACACAAACTTTTTCCTGACCATGGCTTTGCCTCTTTGAGAAGCACAGTCGGCCGTATGTGCTGTACTGCTGCCAGTACTGACAGCATAGCCACCTGAACTGTGACTTTATCAGAGCACTCTGCCTGTAGAAAAACCTCCAGTTTAAAATAGACACCATGGTCACTGTCAGTGCTGTTCACCAAGAGCTTCAGTCAAACTAAGAGCACCCCAGCTGGAGCACCAGGACTAGTGAGAGGTTTGAGGTGGCCAGAAGCCTCTGGCCACTGTCCTCTGCCTGTGCTCTGGTCATCTAGGAGACATTGTACATAGGAGATCGTCAAACAGACAAGGAAAATAAAGAGCTTACCTGCTCACCAACTTTCCCTGGTCGGCCACGGTTTCCTGGCTCACCCTGCAGGACAAGGACAGACAAGGCACACAGGTTACTTGGTGTTCCCACTCAGAACCTCAGTACAATATGGTTCTTTGTACACCCATGATTTGGGCTGCTGTGTGTGAATCGTGGAAAATCTGCAAGAAACAAAGTCTCGCAAAAACAACTATGACTTGAAAGGTAATCCAATGCAAGAAACACAGCTGACGCAAACATGGAGCAAACACTTGCTGTTCTGGAGTGAAATGTCCCCAAAGCAGCTGGTCCTGCTGTCATAAAATAACCTTCACAAAACCAAACTCAAGCATTGAAACATAAGCTGTCTACTTTCCTGTGGCATAGCCTAGTCCTGGTTGCTCTATCCCCATGTTTAATAAGGCATGAGTTCTTATCAGGGATGTTCTTGAAGTGGGGGTGTTTCTGACCCATAACATTTCAATCTGAAAGACTAAGTAAAACACAGATGAAGGCAGAAACACGTCATCAGCAGGAAGAGAATAGGAAATGACCCTGATTAACCAAAGGATTTGAGGAGCATCTAGGAAAAGCAAGAGTGCAGACACCATGGGGAGGTGTAGTTCCTGAATGACAAAGGAGAAGGGATCCAAGAAAATTCACCTGCTAGTGGAAGTGTCACAAGAATAAAAGACAACCCAAATATTCCCAGGCATAGGCACATTACTGTCACATGAAGCATCCACATGAATACCACAGAAAGAACCTACATGAGATAAATCACAGTGCAGGATGAGAGAAATTCAGAGAATGAGAAAAATGAGGGGCAAAAAGAAAAGCAGGAGGAGGAGGAGGAGGAGAATTTCAAATCCACCAGGGATAAGGGCAGCTGTGGCAGAACCCGAAGGCCGGCGGAGTGTCCCTGGACAGGCCATCCAGAGGCCAGACTCACCGCTAACCAGTACTGTCTCCGGGTGATGGCAGCTGTATTTTCTCAGTAGGCAGATACTCCGGATGTGCTGCCAGACCACATTTTTGCTATTTACTGTTTGAAGAGGTTGTTTTTATTGGGTTTTCTCTTTCCTTTTGAGTGTGGGTTTGTGAAGCAGACTGCCCTGGGATGGCTCCTGCTGCCAATTAGGCAGCAAAGATAGGAATGATGTGCATTGTTTTAGAACAAAAACATGGAGAAGCAATGGAAAATAAGATGAGATGATGGAGGGGGGAGTTGGTTTATATCAAAGGAGGCACACACTTGTTTATAATAAAGCACATGGCTTAAAAAATGCACCATCATTCCTTTTGCTGAAGAAACCAAGCAGAAGCAGAGACCCCAAAATTCAGAGAAAAAGAGAAATCCTCAGCTCTCCTTGTTCTCTCTGGAATGAATACCCTAGGTTTGGAGCATGGTAAAGGTGAGAAAAGATATTTCCCTCTTCCTTTCCTCCCTTCCATCCACTGCTTTCCTGATCACAAACAAATTCTTTCCTCACCTTTAGACCATCAGGACCAGGTCTTCCTGGAAAACCCTTCCGACCAGATCGACCCTGAAATAGATGGAAAAAACAATAAAGATAAAAAGCTTGCAGCTGCCCTTAGTCACAGCAGTGTATCTATGAATCTATATGGTGCAGCTTACAAGCAATGCTCCCTGTCAATTCAGGGTGCTAGAGTTGTAGCAGCCCTTACTGAGGCGAAGGCAACACAAGAGGAAAGCACTGTGTCTTGAGTGACACCAGGTTTGATCCATGGGGAACATGCCTAGACACCTACTCCAAGGTTCAGCCAATTTCTGATTCTCCAGCTTGATTCTGTTACTTAAACATCACATCAGAAACGTAATGCATGGACTATAATTAACCAAGCCAAGGGCTTTGTTGCTGCCCTTTAGTTTATTATGTGCCACGTTCAGCTGGATTTATTCTACTTCCAGCAGTTTTCTTGTAGTAATGCCAGCTCGGACACCAGCAATCTGAGCATTCAAAGGTGGTACTTCACAAGATGGTACTTTCCTAGTGTTGGCAGGGACTTGGCCATGTAAGCATCTTAGGGGCTCCTTCCCTGGCATCCAGAGAGGATTTGGGAGTAGGACTGTCCCTACAGTGGGGGAAGCCAGGCTGACATTCACAGCTACAGCTCAGAAAAGCAGAAATAAGCCTGCAGAGCAAAAGGTTCATGTTGAGCCTTCCCTTTGGCTAGAAGAACACTTATGGTGCTGTCCCAGGCACTGGAGAAACTGGATTTAGTATGTTGCTCCAGAAAGGACTAAAAGTGTCTGCCAGAACAGTGGAGGAAATGCAAAATAAAACATCTATTTTCTGATCCACCTTGAAGCTCCAGCACAGTTACCAATTTTCAAGATATTTTACTATCCTGTGATGACAATTATGTACATAACCATTACAAAATCCTGAGCTGGAAAGCTCACAGATATGATAATATTCTTTTTGTTTCTTCTAACTATGTTTCTGTGATACATCACTGTGTTCAGAGCAGTGTAGAGGTCAAAAAGGACTCTCTCTCACTGTCAGGTCTTTTTTCTTGCTTTTCACTCTACTCATTGAAAAATACTATAAATCAAGGAAGAAACATCAGGACTGGTTACAGAGATGGTTTCCAGTCAACATGGTTTATCTTGAGGATGAACTATTCAAACATTAGAGGGTTTTTCAAGGTCTGAGACTTTAAGCAAGTTATAAAATTAGAGTCCCACTCAACACCCTGTACAAGACACTTCCTTGACTTTCAGCCATCCTGGATCAAGCAGTTTGACCAAGCCCTGGACAAGACAATATTTCTTAGAAGAGCAGATCTTTCCCCAAACCAGGAGTTTTGAAGCCTTATGTTGACTATAATCCCATTGCAAAGTCAACAGAGCTGGTACTGAGTAAACTACTGAAACCTACCTCTGGACCAGGGACTCCTGGTGGTCCTAAGGGTCCTTCATCTCCCTGAGGTGAAAAGAAATGAAAATAAAAGGCAAAGTAGTGACAAAATCTGGACTCACCATGCAGCAAGAATGAAAGGCCTGCAGTATGAGCAGCAGTTAAACACAGGCTGTGTGCTCAGCCGTCACATTTTAACAACCAAGTCCTTCTGAATCCTAGAGCAGGCAGCTCAGGATCTCTGAGGTTTCTCATCTCCCTTCCCCATCTCAGAAAAAAAATCTAAAGTCAAGTCCTGACAGCAAAGGCCTTCCAAAATTTGACCAAAGTCAACACCAGTTGATTGGGCCTATCATGGGCTGGACTTAGCCCATAGGGTACCCTGGACATGCTCACATGACTCTGCTTCATTTGATTTCGCAGGGATACGAATGCTGTAGAGCTCTCTACTCTTTTTCTTTCTTTCCTGCTTCTTTTTTTGCCCCACAAAAAGGGTGTTGCAAAATTTCCCACAGAACCATTTGGCAACGTATGAAGGTTTCCCTTTTGCTTTCAGATGGGACTACACATGCTGCAGGATGGAGCTATCTCAAAATCTCACACAGCAATTGGACTCGGTCCTCTCCCTTGGCTCTACACCAATTTCTAATGTGATAGGATCAGATCTACAGTTTCTAAGAGACCTTCAATTAAGCTCCACAAAAATTATCTCAAGTGTCTAAAACCAACTGCCAAGAGAGAAATTAAAAGTGCCCTTGGCAGCCACAGTTCTGGCTGTTCTCATTTAGGTGGTCATCCGTGGTAATGAAGTGGCACGAGCTGGCAGGCTGAAGATGGGGGACTGGAAGTCAGGAACCCCACTCAGTGGGCTCAGATGAACCACCCACAATATGCCACATTTCTAAACAAGATGTAATCCACAGCCTTGACCTACCACATTGGGTAACAGCAGCGGTAAAGGCACAGCGGTGTGGTCTGGTGCACATTCAAAGTCCTTTAGCACAGCTTATGTCAAACTCCATGTCCATGTCTTCAGTCTTACTTTTACACTCACTAACTAGAGTAAATTGAAGGCAGCTTGGTCATGCCTGCCTGAACCTGGAATGCAGGGCTTCGATTCCCTTTGTAAATTGCCTAGAATTTTTTTTTTTCCCTATTTCAGTGCAAATAAATGAGCTAATTTGCATTAATCCCATTGAGAGAGCAAGCAGAAGACTTCCCAGAAAAAGTTAAGAATTATTAGTGCTATTAGAACGAGCTCCTGCCCATGCGTGCACTAAGTATTATTTGCACAACGTTTCATGACTCTGGACAAACAGCTTACACTGGCCTAAACAAGAAGAAACTACACTGAAGCAACTGGAGTTACAACAGGATAAAGAGAGGGCACTCAGGCCTTCTCTGCTGCTGCTATAAAGTATTTGCAGCTCCAGGACAATTAAATCAATGACAATTGTCCCTTCTTAGTGACTGTGAGTGGAATGAAGCTTCAAGTTTTCACATGAAGCAATAAGTGAAAGCTGCAAGCTATGAGATGCTGGGGCAAATGAATCTTTGCAGAAGAGCAATTTCAATTTAGGTACTCTTTGTACAAAAGGATATTGCTCTGTGTGAGAGCGTGAAGTCTGTAGGTCTCACAGTTGAAAGAAAACACACTTAAAAGGAGCAGAAAGCAAAAGCCAGGTCAGGGCATGCCTGTGCAACGGGATGTGCAGGGAAAAGGGTATTAATACCCGTTCTGGGTGTGTGTGGGTGTGGGGGAACAGATTTTAAAAGAAAAGCCAATGTAGAGTTTAGGGTCAGTGGATGCCAGCAGTGACTGCAAGCAAAGATCACAGGACTGCAGCTTCGGGGAAGCTCCTCTTTTGCGCGTCTCTTATCACTGAATATAAGCATCTGCTTCCAGATTCAGAGGGACTGGATGATTTCAAGTCACAGGCACCATTTCAGCATGCCTTCATTTTCAAAATTCAACATTATTCTTTAAATCCAATCTGCTTTTGGTCTGAGGACACTCACCTCTTGTCCAGGCAGCCCTCTCGGCCCAGGTAAACCTCGTGCTCCTGGCTTTCCCTGAGAAAGAGCCAAAGGAAAAGATACTCAGAAAATAGAAACATAAGCTCAGAAGGGCAATTAAAATGAGAAAGTCTCTTTCACAGCCATGGGACATCATCCAATGTCAATTTTGTTACAGAAAAAAAATTGAAAAAAGAAAACCCTGCACTTGGAGGGACCTCAAGCCAAACAGACCAAGCTGAAACGCTGGCCAGGACAATCTTCAGGAATCTCCAGGGCTTTCTCTCTCCCCCTTTCCCACTACTTTGTTTTCCCTGGCTGCTTCCCACCCCACACAGAGATTCAATTTCTGCTCCACTCACCTTCAGGCCTTCAGGACCATTTTCTCCGGGTGGGCCAATGTCACCTGGAAAGCCCTGAAGAAAATGAGAAATAGTCAGGGTGCATAGGTGGAGATGGACTTTTACAACCGGCTTCAGAGGACAGTCTCTGTGAGAGTTTTAATTAAACGCTAAGGGCTGAGACATTTGTTACGTGCTGGCAGCGTCCGTGTGTGGGCCACCGCGCGGCTTCTAGAGGGAATGAACCAAGATAATGGGAGCAGCCCTATCGGTTTGATTCAAGAGCAGCCTTTCCCAGCAGTTCCCTTTAGGTCCATCTTCTTAGAAGATTTATTGCTGTGAGGGCGTCCCTGTCATCACACAGCTAAAACCAGCAATTTGGGTTTTAATTAATCTTTGTGAGTCAGCACATAATCTCACGGCTCTGAGAAACGAACTACACGCCTCAGTGACAAAGGGAAGCAGGCGAGGAATTAGGAAAGGTGCTGACATGCTCATTAGCTGCTGCCTTCAGCCAGGCAGCGACTCCTTTCCACCCACCAGCCCTTTGCTGAGGAAACAAAGGAATATGTGGTTATTTCCAATAGCAACAAAGAGGAACGATTGCTAAGTGGCAGCATTCAACTGAGAGCCCTTCCAGACCCAGCAGAATACCATAACACTGATGAAGGGAAAAGAGATCATCAGTTGCACTGGAAGTGGCTCTCTAGCATCTTACAGACATTGTCTGGTTGCTTATGAAGGAGAAAAATGACAATGTGCTGGGGGAAGCTGATCCTGCATTTAAGGTATCACTGTGACAATATTTTTGGTAAGGGCAGCAAGAGTCTTTTTCTACTTGAAATGGTATTTTGTGGGGGAAAAAATGAAAAAACCCTCCACAATATCTATGAAAAAAAGTGGAAGGAAACCCCAGGAAACCATGAGATGCAGAATGGGTCATGAACGCATCTTGATCCTCCCTATCTCATCACCACTCATGTACCATCATACCCTGGCAGAGAAGCGAAGCCCTAAGCTGAAAAGAGGAGGTTAGGTGGAAAGTGAGATGCAAGATTCAAGAAATGAGTGTTCTGCCCTGAAAAGCAGTTGAAGAACAAGAAGGGCCAGAGAACAACATGGTCAATAGAAAGACCAGTGTCCACAGAGACTGGCCAGTGGCTGGGAGACAGCCTGGGGCTCTATTCCAGTGCACCACTGGCTTTTCTCACACCTTTTGGAAGCTCCCTTTACCTTTCTAGGCTTGAGATCTTCCCTCTGCAAAACGATAGGATGTTCTGCTTTGCAGTGAGTGTCTGCCAAGGTGTTTAAAAAAAAAAAAAAGGAAGGATAGGGAGAGATGAGAGATTGTGACATGCTGTTTGCCAGGTTAGAGACAACCTTTGGGGACTGACCTTTCTGAACAAGAGTGGAACAAGCTGATACATATAGGACTTGCACGGGAAGATTGGGAAGAAAAAGGCTTGGAATGGTAGCTGGAGATCAGGAAATCTGAGTGCAGGGTGGTCAGAGGGTACAATATGGACAGTCTGCCCCATTTCCCAGTTTGAACAAAAGTGGACCTCAATTCAGTAAATAACAGTAAATCCTACAGCACAGCAAAGTTCTTTCTGCCTCGGCATTTCTGGAGCCCCGGTGTGCCATTGTCCTAAAGCAACCCATCTGCCTGTTGTTAGCAAAGGCTCTGACCCCAGAACACACCAGTTTTGGGTTGGTAAATGTATCAGAGCTCAGGTGTCATGGTGAGCAGTAGCAGTGGCAGCTGTCCCCTCCCTCCGTCGGGCTGGATGCCCACATGGGAGGCAGCGTTTGGCTCTTGCTTTCCGTATGAACTAGCAACAGCTATATGCCTATGCCTCCTAATCAAAACCCTATGTAGACCTGCCTGTACACAGCTCTAGAGCTAAAAACCTCCAGTGGGGAAAGGAGATAGGCATCTCTAACAGTCTCTCAAATGCCACATGGGTGTTTATCAGAGAGTTGATTCTCAGTGGGGTGGCAAGCTGCAGACATGGAATAACTACTGCTGCAGAGGCAAAACAAGATGGGAGAGAGGTGTTACCGTGTGGGTTTCCTGAAGAAAGTATGCTGCAGAAGTTACCAAAGAAAAGACAGGCATGAGAAGGAGCTGGTGGGACGTACCTCAGGGCCAGGTGGTCCTGGAAACCCGACTGGACCTTTGTCACCGACTTTTCCCTGCAGAAATCAGAAAAACATGGACAAAATGAGCTGGCTCCTGGCTATTGGCTTTCCTGTTTAGAGTAGCACACCCCTGCCAAGCTGTCTTTCCAGCTAGGCACTGAACCTTTAGAGAAAGGGAGATTAGGAATCAGAGGATGCTTGGTTACTTACCAGGGGGCCTGCTTTCCCTCGTGCCCCAGGGACCCCAGGCAAACCCTGGCTGCCCTGAGAGAGACACACACACATTTTTTCAGAAAACACAATGAAGCATCAAAAAAATACCAACTCCCCAGGCTCCAGCTCCTCTGCAGCAGAGAGAGGAGCACTTTCTAAGGGCTGAACTCAGCCCTGCAAGGAGCTGGCACAGTTGCACTAATGTCAGTGAGATGTTTCTGCTAAAGCCAGGGCTGAATTTAGCCCCAAAGAACACATGAGCTGTTGCAGCTAGTTGTGGCTCAGAGCCATGTAGGCCCCAGTGCAGTGCTAAGTACAGCTGAAGTCAGTATCGTGTTGTACTCACAGGGGAAAAGTCACTTGCTTAGAAGTTATGCACGGCGTTAAGTGCTTCACTGGGTCAGGGTTTAAGTTGCTGCACTGAGCAGACAAAACCTCCAAGTCTGCAGCCGCTGGACCACACACATTCACACCCATCCCCATCAATCCCATCCCATCACTTCCAATTTCTGCATGAAGATATGGCCCCTTTTATAGAAAGCCCCCAGTAGAACTGCTTTTATTATGAGTAACAACAAAATTCATGTATTGACATGAATTTTAGAAAGGTGCAGCATACCCCAAATGAGAACTATCCAAGCAGGGGAACCTGACAGCAGGATGCAGTTAGTTCCAGCTCCTCGTGTCTTAAGATGAGTGGAGAAAGCTGGTGGCCACACATACTACTATGTAAGCAAAAAAAATGATGGAGAAAAGAAAAACAATTACCTTGTCTCCTTGGAAGCCGATATCTCCTGGAACACCTGCTCCTCCCTGATCACCCTGGATACACATCACCAGAGGGTTAAAATAGGCAACAGCAATGGCCAAAGTGCCCAGGTAGATGCTAGATGGTGCATTGTACAGCAAAAGTCTTATCACTAGCTCTATTCAAAACTGAACTGCTGGCAAACTGTAGATCATATCAACTGCAACAACAATCCTGAATGAAGTATGTATTTCCCAACATTGATTCTAAAGTGAGAAGTGAAACTGCAGGAGAGGGGAAAACATGAATTCCCAAGCATTGTGTTTCTATAGAAGCTGCAAGAAGAGAGACTGTGTTCCTCTGGCTAGCAGCAACCGTGAAGGTGCTGAACAGAAGAACTAGTTTAGTTTTCAATGAATCGACCTTTTCTCTCATAAGGGTCTATAGAAAAAAAAACAATACTCAGGGTTTCTGTGAGCGTATCCTAGTGCTGGTATCAAAGATCACTCCTCTTCCATAAGAAAACATGAGTAACTTCTAGTAATGGTACCATTGCACTGCCAATATCTAGGCTGAGATTCCCCGGGAGGGGTAGGCTGGTATTCATTGGGATGGGGATCCCATCTTTGAGCCCACCGTCATTGACAGTATTTCCTAACCAAGCTATCTTTCTTTCCCCTCTTTGGACCATCGTAACAGATTCTGACTCCCTGGGTAGAAAATAAGTGTCCCTGAAGGTTTTCTTGGGGGCAGTGGGCTATCTTGCATTGCCTCTTAGCCCTGCTGTGAGCAGGCTGTTGGACCAGATGACCTCCTGATGTCCCCTCCAACCTCATTTATTTAGTGATTTACTTAAACAAAAAATGAGTCAATGATGGGGCAGAGAAAGGAAAATTCTACTTGGAAAGTCAAAGGAGGAATGACTATAAAAACTTGGTACAATGACAAGACCCAACAGAAATAACTGTTAGAGGAACTCTGTCCCATGCACAGCACATGCCTCTAAACTTGGCTTCCTAGTAAGGGAACAAGCCATACAAGAGCAGAGAGCTATATGTTTAAACATAGTCCACATGGAAGACATATGGACTCCTGCAACAGAGCCAAAGTCTACAAAGAGATGACAGAAGAAGCCTACTTCTACTCAAGCACAAACCACCCACTTGTTATCAGAGAGTTGAAATAGTTCTAATTACTTCAGTAACATGCAGGGGATAATGAAATTGTGGACCGTTAAGGCCTGAGTAGGGAAAGACTTTTTGGAGACAGCTTTTTCAGAAGAAAAATAATCAAGAACTATGCAGATTCAATGATGGAAACATTTCATGGATTCATGCTAAATTTGCTTAAATGTTTTGGTAAATGTTCCCAGAACATTTCACTGAACCATCTTCAAAACATATCTTTTATATAGCAAAATTGAAATGTTGCTCTTAAAAAAGGTTAAATTAATTTTCCTCATTTGGTTTTTAACCTAAAATATTTTAATTTGAGTCAAATAACCAACATTTTGCTTCATCTAAACTATTTTCCATCTATCCTTTTTTTTTTTTTGGCAATGCAAGCAAATGAAAACAATCAGCTATTTACACAGCTTCAGTTCGGATGAACCCCAAGTATTAGATACAATAGAGATGGCAAAAAAAAATACTGTATGACCCAGCTCTTTTCCAGCCATTGCCAGATTTCTCTCATCTTCTCTGAATTTTCGACTTATTTTATCTAGTCCAAGGCTTAAACCACTGAAATCTGCTCTAATTCTGGCTCCTGCTAGAAGACAGCAGGACAATAGTTTTTCTTGAAAGTGAGAGGTTTGCTCTGAAAACTCCTTGTCTTTATCACCTATGCTAAGAGTCAAAAAAAAAAAAAAAAAGGGGTTTTTTTTTTCTTTAAGCAGTTTTCTACCCAGACAGTATAATTGGCTATGGAAATATTGTTTTGGAATAAATACTTGGACATTAAGAAATGACTACTATAAGAAAAGAGTTTCCTGAGCATAGCAAAAGACAGGAACAAACCTTTATCACTGACCTTTAAGCAAAGTGGGATAGCGACTGCATGACAGAGAAAACAGTTTTCAAACAACTCTTGAGAAATGGGCATTAGAGAGGGTAAGAAGGAAGCAGGAAAGACAAAACACATCTTTTATCTTTAGCTTGGCTCCACGCAAGATATTCACATGCTATTGCAATAGCACAGCAAAATGTCATGGCATGAATGATCCATCTGCAGTGGCCATTAATATCTTACACCAAAACTGATGACTAGGGCATCTTCCTTCACCTGCCTTGAGCACAGTAAATCTGAAATTGTGACTGAGGGTGTGTGTCCTTAACGTGAGGGAAACAATAAGGAAGAAAGAAGTCAGGCATGTTTATTATTAAAAAAAGCTATGCCGAGATGACAAAAAGGGGCTGCAAGTACTTTGCTCATAGGGAGGAGGAGGAATGTGCAATCTGAAATTATAAACAGGCTCTGTCCATGGGATATTGCCTATGTTTCATGTTTCACCCATAAAAAGAAATGCAGCTTCAGAGACCCTGAGGTCCTCCTTAGCACCACACTACACAGAAAGGGGGCTACGAGGGAAGCAACAGATTTGCAAGTGCGAGGCGTGTTTGCTGTCTGTAGGACACAGAGGAGATTGCCGTGCAAAAATCTCATTTTGCTGTCGATTGGACATCTCTTTTTCCCAAGAATTTCTGCTTAGAAATACAAGTGGAGCTAACACTGCAAAACTACTAGAGGTATTTTACTGAGCTGTCTGCTCCACAAGTTACAGATGTCCTGATTCATAAAACTCCTTTATGTGAACAAGTAGCTAGGATTTCCTCCACTTCCTCCACCTTTCCTCTGCACTCATCACATCACGTGGTCTTCTCAAGACCACTCTCTATTTCAGGTTTATACAGTAATTCCACTTCTCCCTGTAAGAGCAGATGCAACCCTCTTTGTCCCCTCTCCTTGCCTCCATGAAAACATATAAATGGAAGCAGAAAGATGACCCATTTGGGGGTAAACTGAAGCTGTAAAAAACATAATTAAATTCCACGGTACCGAGCTTTTATGGGGGATGCAGAAGGGGTTGGCTAGCATTGGTGTGCTCTGTACTTGCCTGTCTAGCTGCTAGATACAAAGATGTGATTTCTGCAGGAGGAGTGGGATGTTACCCCTTGTTCAAGTTCATGCCTGGCCTCTGCTGTGTGATGTGCACATTTGGGATTAATAAACTGCACCTTATAGAATATTGAACAAGGCAACATAGGAAACAAAGTCCAAAAAACCAGTGAAAAATGTTCCCCTCATGGAAGGGGAAAGCCCTTTCAGTGTTGAGGCAGGTTCCTCCTCATGTCATGGCAAAGGGGAATGGCAACAGTGTTTCTGAAGGATGCAGCATTAAGCTGAGGACCTTCTCCCAGGTGGATCGAGGTGGCAGCCTCAGTTACATGCCTGCTGCCCACACACACACCATCCAGCCACCCTGTCATCATGCTTAGGTTTTACCGGCATCTGATCTGACTGCTGTTGAGCGAAGGGAGTATTCCTCAGCTACAAAAAGACAAACCTGTACGAGGCCGCATACTTGGATGTGACCAAGATGGATGGGTTTAACAGGATCTGGCAGACATCTAATTAAATCTTCATCAACACATCCTCAGAAAGGCACTATGAACTGCAGCCTGGAGCTGACGGGGCAGGCCAGGCGTGAGCGCTATGGGTTGTGCTCCAGGCACCCTTTGACACCGGCACCTCTGGCTGCTCCTGCAGCCCTGCGGGGTGCCAGGGGGGTAACGCAGGGCACAGCATAGGCAGCTCCACGTGGATGTGCAGAAAAGGCCAAGTTCTGTAGAACTGCAACAGGAGAAAAAAGACTGTCCCTTGCCAGGGAGGACTTGGGGCAGTCTCGAAATCCCTATTGCCCCTCGAACCTGGGCTAGTCCATGAGTGGCAGCAGATGCAAGGTGCGAGGCTCCCAAGGCTGCTCTCATCTGCTGTGAATTACTAATTATGAAAGGCTACCGATTACTGTCAGCATGGAGTGGTGAGGTTTGCCACTCTCCACTCCTGCTGACCCAGCTTTTCAGATGCTGCCAAATGTCTAAGGCTTTTCTTTTTTCTTTTCTTTCTTTCTTTTTTTTTTAAATAAGAATTTTAACTCTATGTTTACCAGCTTTTTGAAAATTATGGTGGAGGAGAAGAGGGGAGAGCCAGTACCTTTATCCCCCTCCCCTCTGGCCATGTAATGGGAGACTACTGCACTTCTGCAATAATGCCTCACATCCCTTTGGGAAAAGCCTCTGTATCTAAATGGGTTTATTAGAAACTGCTTTCTAGAGAATCCACCTGACATCTTCATACCAGATTCAGCCTTCTCTAGGCTGGGACCTTCTGGTGTAAGGTGTTGATTTGCTGCTGGAATGGGCACGTTTAGTAAGGCTGACAGCTACTGTTGGCTGAACCTGGGCATTGTCTGTTCTTGCTAGTACCTGGATTCATTCATCTTGCACATTCAACACACTTAGCATATGGCTCAGGTCTTTCAGAGATGGACTAGCCATTTGAGGTGCCTGCTTAAAGTCTCAAGAAAGATGCCTGGACAGTTGGCAGATGGCAGCTCAACCCCTATGGAAAATCACATGTCTTAAGCTGGGGTGTAAACAGGACTCCCGGACTCTTAACACAGCTTTCTGCTGTATGGGCTGTGCATCGGCTCTGCATGGTGTGGTGCCAGCCCTTCCTTCTCCTGTAGCATTCCTGGTGAACGCACTGCAGGAAAGCAGCACTAGCTTGGAAGTCAGAAATAATTTGCTCTTCAAAGGGGACTCGGGGACCTCATATGCTTACAGAGCGGTACAGTGGGGTGGGTGTGCTTGAGCCACACCAGTGTGCAGAGAAAACGTTGCTGCACGGTGGCTGGACTGTCAGCCCCAACTAGTTAGCTAAGTTCACCCTTGTAATTGCATCTTCAATATCCAGCAGAGAGGGGAAGTCTGTTACTTGGGAGATGACCAAGCTATGAATAAGGATCTCTGCACAGGCGGACTGCATACAACCGCGGTCTGGAAATGTTTCAAGAATGGCAAGAGGCAAACTTTCAGACTGACAGACATAGAGAATAAATACAAGATTCAGGGAGGATACTTATGTTTCTGGTCATAGCAGTAAGACAGTTTTGTCTGAAGATGACGAGGGAGGGTTATAATGAAGTCAAAATCTAATTGACAGAAAAAGTATAGTAGGCAACCAAAGAAAGCCTTTAAATAAGAGGTTACGGCCTAAAAATAGCAATAGCAGGAGAAACTAACAGTGACACAACCGGTGAGGGATTACAGAAGGGAGCCTCCAACACAAGTCAATCCCTCTGCTCCAGGCAGGGTCCTTCCTGTGACCCAAGCCCAAATGGGCACTGAGTGAACACAGAGATCCTGCCTCTACTTTTCTATATGTGGGATTTCCTTAAGTCAGATTTTCTAAGACCAGCTTCAATTAAAAAACATGTGGCAAAAACAAGGGGGGCAAAGAAAGATTTATGCTGCAGCTTCTTAATAAAGGCTGAGACAGAAAACATTTTCATTGAAACAAGGCAGGTGGCAAGGCAAAAGATGATCCCGGCAAGGAGAGGGTCCAAGAGGCCAGGGTGTACTTCCCACCTCTAGCAACCTCCTCCTCAGTCATTTGTGCAACTCAGAAGCCCTCACATAACATGAAGGGCATAAATGTCCCTTCCATCTACCACATATACATTTAGACCACAAGCTCTTTGCAGGCAGAGTTTTTCCCTTGCTACAAACTGAGCAAAAGCAGCAAGACCAGATAGCATTTAAATTTCTTAGTGGTACCAGAACATAAATAATTAAAACACAAATGTAAACTAGCTGTAAGAAGGGATGAGTGTTTTTGCTCATGATGCCCAAATCGGAGTGAGAGAAAATAAAAAGGCTTAAAGGTGCCATTCACTAAAGAAATGTGGGAGTGAGTAAATGAATGCAGCAGCCTTTTGATCAGTGGGAGAAGGGATGTATTATAAACCGGGCCAACTAGCTGAACAGCAAGACCAACAAATCAGAAAACCAAATAACTGAAAAAACCACAAAGCTATTTCAGGCCAAATCCTCCCCCGAATATAAGGAGAGCTGGTAAACTTTGTCTATACTCATGCAAAGAAGTGCAGCAAACTTTGATGCTTTGGCTAAAATGCCAGAGCTGCATGCCTTCACCTGAGCAGATAAGACTTGGGGCCATCAATGTTTAAGTAGGTCTGATTTTCCTTTACCTTGTATTTCCCAGCCCTTTGGCTGTTAGACTGCTGGAAAGGATACGCACAAGCTGTTTGGAAGCTCTCTCTGACTCTGAAATCATTGTTGGTCTGATCTGAGTGTTTGGTAGCACCCAGGATATTCGAACTAAAGCAACTCCTTAGGGACAGAGGAGGCTTGAGTAGGAGGGGTGGTTTGCCAGTCTTCGATTAGGAAAGGGCTGTAATGAAAGCCAGGAAGGAAGCCTCTCCTGTCCAAGGCAAATGAGTGGGAGAGTAGCTAGGGAGGGAAAGAAAGGGTTTCCTGCACCTCAGGAGAGAGGCTACGAGACTGAGCATGGGATTATTGAGGGAGGATGGATAATTCTGCACTTGGGAGTATTGTAAGGATAACTCCAGGGAGAGCTACAAACCATTTGGTTACTGTGATAGCAGCGGCTGAAGAATACTGGGGATAAACAGAGCAGTCTGTGTAAAGTGATGGAGACTATAATGTCCAGGAAGGTTAATTTTGCTAAACAATTACTTAAACATTGGCAATTCTTAAGATATTCAACCATTTATTCCAAGGAGCAGACAGAAGAGTCTGTGGGCTCTAGGAATTAGTGGTGAGTCAAGAAACCAGATACAATGTCTTAAGCTTGTCCTAAAGAAAAAGTTCTTCTCTTGTCCTGTCCTTCCTCTCTACAAAAGTAAAAAGGTGGTGCAGGGGAGAAATGGAAATGGCAGACACAGGAGCCCTGGCAAAGAGCTGCTATAATGTAAGGAGAGTGGAATCAACTGGCTTGACGCTACTTCCCCCATGTGCAGTTTTGGGCTGCTAAATCAGTCTCTAAAAGCAAACATCTAACAAGAGAATAAAACATTAACAGGAGGATAGTTGACAGAAGGAAGACAATACACTTAATGGTCATTTTTCATTGCCCTCCTGAGCAATCAGAGCCAACAATAAATGATTGCACCTCCCACTCTTTCAAACTAAATAAATCTTACAGTCAAATATCTGTGGGAGGATGGTTCTCATGACAGTGAGACATTTACACACACAGCTTCATGCTGATTTAGCTCAAGCTGCGTGTTTTTGTGCCAGCAGCACTAAATCATTGCAATCAATGCCCCTCTCCTTTTTTACTTTTTTTAAAGTGATTTATACCAGTTTGGCATAAGGCAATTTCCTCTTGGCAGGAAGCTGAACCAAGGTGAGCCTCTGCGAACAGGAGCAGAGGTACCTAACACAGAACAGTTTTTCCTGGGGATCCAGCTGGTTTGGTTGATCCAGTGAGTTGTGCTGCTTTGTCACATCATGTGTTTCCCCCAAATGCATTCGTGCAAAGCCACTGTCAGTGTTGTTAGCTCTTCATCCTCCTCCACATCCCATCATGTAACCAATATAAAAACATAAAAGCCCAGTGAAACACCAGATCATCTTACAGTTACTGCCATCACCAGTAGGAGACAGAAGCTCCAAAGAGGATCTGAGCATAACTGATCAATACTAGAACTCCAAGGAAAAGGAGAAGGGGCAGATATAAAAGAAAGAAAAATCATAACTGAAGCATCAAGAAAGGAGGGAGGGCAGGAGGACGGGAGCAAAGAGACAGCCAGAGTGGAACCAGTACCATGGTGCTGAATGAGAAAGAGAAGCTAGAAAGGGGATTTCACATGCAAAATTAAAACACAGTGCAATAAGGGAGTATTCAGATCACCTTATCACCTTTCAGTCCATGTTCTCCAGGGTTTCCCATCAGCCCCTGAAACAAAAGAAAGTTCAGAGTGAGACTGAGCCACTGTGAAGACTTGCTCAGGTCTATGACATTGATGTCCCTGATGGGGCTGGTGGCTCAGACCCGCAGCATTGGCCTGGCACAGCCCCAAGGCCAAATGTCAGGCTGCTCCCAAGGCGTGCTCCATCACACATCCTTTAAACATCCGTCATGGGCTGGAGGCGCGCAGGGAAAATGCCCCTGGGTTTCTCCATTGACTTAGACCTGCTGCAGACCACCAGTAGGATGTTGTGTTCAACAGTCCTGTGCCTGGGTCAATGGACAAGCATTACTGCTGCCCATCCTTTCTTTCAGGATAGTCACCATTACCCAAGAGAGGATATTCAGCCCTGCCATGGAGGGACAAGAGCTCACACATCTCAGTTATTCTCTCACCTTTAAGCCTTTTGGTCCTGGATAGCCTATCGGTCCAGCAGAGCCCATGTCACCCTAGTAAGAGAAAGAAAATTACCGAAGTCATTAGGTGCAAAACCCAACAGGTAGCTGTATGTAGTGTGAAATTCCTCTCCTATCTGGTCTCTCAGTATCCCTGAAGAATTGCACCACTGACTTCGGCAGAAGCAGCGTCCTGGCACAAGTCAAGAGACTTTTAATGTGTAGACAGCCTCTAAGTAAAAGAAGCACAAGGTGTTTGCCTCACAGGCGTATGAGGGTAGAAGAGCACCTCCTATTTGCATCCTGCTCTCGCCAGAAAGAGCCCCCAAAGCGCCTTGACACTAGCCACCAGAGAAGTGAGCTGTCCCCCACGATCAGCTCACCCGGACCCACCGTGCTGCTGCTCCTGTGCATGGCCACGGCAATTGGGTAGAGTGTGCTGGATGCCTGGAGAATGTGTGAGCATCCCACTCCTGTGCCACAGGAGATATGGGTGTCAGGGAGTGTGGTCAGACTCCAAACCCAGGAGCGTGGAGTCCTGGATCCACTTAAAAAATAGATAATGGCAAAATAATGGAAAGCTAATTAAGAAACCACCTTGAAGTCTGCAACTGTGGTAGGATCTGAGAAATTTTTTTTCTATGTTCTTCCTACCTTTTGAATGGATTAATTTCTCTCTTCCACTATTTGAAAAATTAAAATATTGAGCTGGTATAAGACAATCCTGGAGTGTACTTATTCCTGGTGAAGTGACTCCTGCTCTCAAAAAGAATCTACCGCAGTATTCCTGAGTTCTCCAGAGGGAGTCTGAGGGTGTGTTAAAAAGGACAGAGTCAAACAGCAAAAAGGGTAATAGTCAAGAAATTTGGCTCACTACTGAGCTCTGATATCTAAAAGTGATATGGGGAGGAGAGAGGGGAAATGGGAGGTAAGGACAGAGGTGTCCCATCAGCGTGGCCATTCTGCTGCAGCGAGAAGTCAGCATGGCATCGTGTATTGGGACTTGTACGAGAAACTGCAACACAGGAGGATACTGGAGCTCACCGTTGCTACGTGTACCTGAGTGTGCATGTACAAAAGAAAGCCTTCAGTGGCCGGCATTTAAACAGGCTTTGACTGCTTTCTGCCCATGAAGAGAGTCAGTGATACAGTGCACCAGCCTTGCCTGCAATGTGTAAATAAACAGGGAAGGCTCTGGTGAAGGAGCGCTTCTCTGGTCGGCAGTCTCGGGCCCGCAGCCATGCTGGGAGCGCTGGGCTGCAGCTGCCTGAACAGATGCCTTTTTCATACCTCCCAGCATAAAGGCTTCTTGTAGAAATGTGTTTACTTAAAGCTTTGCCCACACAGTTAATTAGGAGAGCAAGAGGCTTTAGTTACATCTAATTCTGCTCTTCAGCCTCTCTTAAACAGCGGACCCAAACACCTGCAGGGTGCATGGAGGCAGCCAGGAACCCGGCCAGTCCCCCGGGGGCGGCTGTAGCTGGGAAGGAAGGAAGCACCTGAACGGGGGCCAGCCCGTAGCAAACACCCCACTGCCTTCTCCTTGCTCTGCAGCGTGAGCCCCGTGCTGCAGACCCCAGGGAAGAAGACTGGTGCTGTCCCACAGAAAGGAGAAGGCAGGATGGATGTGCCCCCTTCTCCCCAGGAGCATGGAGGAAGTCACTCTTAGATCAATCCCACTAGAGATGCTTCAGCATCCTGAATTCAGGAGTTGCATGTTACCCTGGAACACAAGATCTGACTCAGTTTGACCTGAATCTCAGTTTGAAATTTTTATCTCAGAGTGGTACCAACAGACTAACTGGGAAAGGCAGCAGCCGATTGCTACTGCTGCAGCAAGTGATTCTTGGAAAAAAAAGCATTGCAAAGGATTGACTTTCTGCCTTAAAAGTAAAGCTAGGAAGAAGCTCACCACAGGAATGATAATTTCTTCATCTGGATGGGAAGGGAGAAGAAATATTTAAAGTTTAAGACAGGCTGGGTTTAGCAGCAAAAGGAGAACTGCTGCTTTTGACCTTGTCCAGCAAAAACATTAGAAGTTGTGGTGTCAGTAGAGGATGACATAATGGATCAAGACAGCCAAGGTAACAGACTCCAGATCACCTGGTGATGGACCTGAATCGTGATCTAGGACATGCAATGCTAGATCTTGGGGCCAAACAGGGGAAAAAACAAAACAGTTTAGTTGCACCTCCCATAGAATTTGGTGCCATTTGGGTAACTGCAGCCAATGTGGGACAAAAACTTCACAATTACAAAGGCAGGTTAGAAAACCACACTCTGCCTGTGGTCATTTCAGATCAGCTCCAGGCAAAACCTGTCCCTTCCTGGCCCCTGTGATCTATCCCAAGCACATAACAGCATGGCACTGGCTGGGCCAGCTAGGAAAGGACAGGCGGCCTCCTGACTCCATCATCTCTGGAAGGATCTTAATCACATTTATGCGTCTGACGTTTCACTTTCTAAGAAACAAATATCTGTGAGATAACAGCAACCAGGTTAAGAGAAATCTTTCCAAAAGCTAGGAGAAATATGATCCAGTTTGGACAATACCTTCAATCATATTCTTTTAAATAGCAATCTTCCTCTTACAGCTCTTTGCCAGGAGCACATCCTTTCTGCTGCTATGGCTAAGGTAGCTACTTTCATCTCCACTAACAAGGGGAAATACAGACCTAATTCCTGGCTCCACGAAAAAAATTCTGAAGCCTTAATCCACCTATGCCCCAATCCCCCATCTGCAAGACGGGTACACTTGTTCCACCATATTCCCTGCTTTCCCCCCAAGGAGTCTAAGATTTCTGGGTTTGGTGCTCTATGTTTGTGCAATGTCTAGGCCAATCCAGGCCTTGATCTCAGCTGACATGCACACTCCTCTAATTTAAGCTATGGAAGGCAAAAGGGGATGGTTTTTAACCATTTACTGCAAGTCAAGTTTTTATGGATTATCATAGCTGGGGAGGAATCATTCTGAAAGAATGCTGCAGTACTAACAGAACCTACCACTTTTTGTGCATGGAAGGAAATAACTTGAAACAAGTTCTGAGACCTAAAAATAAACTATAATATGTTCAGCTGGGCATACACTAACCCCCAAGTGCAGCTGCCAGAGGATGAGTTGCCACCCATCCTTACAGCCATTTATCTCCTGCCGGGGAAGAGCGTAATGAAGCATGGAATTTGGCTGTGTACATAATTACCTGGATTAGGGATGGGATGGTGAGAGTGCACGTAAAATTCCTGTATACCCAGAGGACAGACAGTTCCTGCCCACGGTCTCTCCAGTGAGCAAGAACTGTGTGTCCTTAGATTACTGCTTACAGGGGCTTGCTTTTTAAAAGGCGACAAATCCTGGTGTGGAATGAATATTGCATCTTTGAAGAAATACCCTAGTAAATGTTATCAAAAGGGCGAGATATCTAGGAACAAGGGCACTAACAGCAAACCTCTAATCTGTTCCCTTTTGTTTAGGAAGGGTTTGCCCTCCTCCACCTCCCGGTCTATCAGGCAACCTCCTCTCTCCCCGACGTCGTGCCTCCCCCATACAAACAGTCCTTCTGTTCACTGCCCTGCCACAGGAAGAAGAAAATCTGTGCGTAGTTATGCAGGCTGAAAGGGTTAAAGCCCCGAGAAGCGAGATCTCCATTTGTTTTTGTACTTACAATGAGTCCAAGGACTCCAGGAGGACCTGGGGCTCCCAATTCTCCCTAAAAGGAAAGACAAACCGACATGGTTAAGGCCACTTTGTAGACAAACAGAGGCTGAAAGGCAGCTCAGTGTTTCAAGAGCTTGAGGGGAGGGAAAAGACCGTCCCTCCCCCTTCCGTCCCCCCCCCCAGCCCCTTCCCCAGCCAAAGTGTTCGAGAGCTTCCATCTTAGCGAGCGCGCTTGCGAGCGCAGCCTCTCCAGACACAGGGCTGCTTGTTGTTCGGCAGTTATTTGCAGGACTGACTTCCCCTCCCAGGAGCAGGCTGGATAAAAGAAGCATTTCACTGTGCAGGCAGGGGAGCGGGTGGGAGCCTGCCCCAGGTGAGATGAAGACATGGGCAGGGAGAGGGACCAGGGTAGGGAGGGGGCATGGGGACAGCAAAGCTAAGGTGGGAAGGGAAGGGAAAGCTGCTGCTTAGCGTTGGGAAAGGTGTTTTGGGAGTGGTTAAGGAACAATAAAACTCTTAAGAAAAGGAGGGCTTGGATGAAAATTAAACTGGATAATTTGGGGAGAGGGTATGGCACCTTCTGGTGCTGGCTGATGGGCCCTGGGAGTGTGTTTGGCACATGGGGTGCTCCGAGGCTGCTCCTCCTGTATCTAAGAGCTGGTTTAAGGTGGGGAACCAGCAGCATCCTCTGCACTCTGCCTCATCCATCTGGGCTCCTGCCCAGACCGTCAACTAGCCATTTCTTTAATTTTCAGAAAAAGCCCCTAGCCTTTGGGCTGCAGCTTGCCTGCAGGGAGGTGGCTCAGCACCTCTGTCCCTGCAGCAGGAAAGTCTCTGCAGGGAACACAGCACTTGCTTAGAGGACGAGTCGCTCTTAATCACACTGCAGAGAGCAGGAGACGGACTGCAGAGATTTCCTCTTGGGCTCTGTGCCCATTTGCCACTTCTTACAGACTGCTCCCAAGCAGGGCATTTTGGAAAGCACCAGCTCCTCTCAGAGGCTTTTCAAGAGCACCTCAGAGCTCACCATTTTGAGGGACGGACTGCTGTCTGGGTTTGTGGGGCTGGTTTGAATTCCCAGCTTCACCACAAAGTCCCTCCGTGCCAGCTTTCCAAAGACATGCAGGTACCAGGAATGCCAGCAGGTGCTTCATGGCATTTCCAGGCAAAGTGCAGCAGGGAAGCTGTGTCAGACCCACACAAATCACCTATCCAGGTCCCTAAGTACTTTAGCAATCGCGATCATCAGCCTGTCCCCGTGTCTCCCTTGGTGGATCACCCGCTCCCTTGCCACATTGACAGTGTGTTGCTTGTCAGGGCAAGGACCTGCTCTTACACACCTCTGTCTCGGCAGGGCCTCTCAAAACAAGTGCATTGGAAATACTAAACTCCCCATTGGCTCAGACAACCCTACCCCTGCTCTGGATCATGCTGGCTATTTTCTTTGACAGACCAACTTAGTTTATGGTGCACATCTGGTGGAGTCCCCTTCAGTGCAATAAAGCTCCCCTTTTATGGAAAGATTTGCCTAGTGAAAGAATGAAAGAGAAGGGGATGCAACGTGACTAAACGTGCTCAGCCTCCTTGGATAAAGGGTTACGTGTGTTTATTTTATGGGAAGTGGAGTAAAGGACTATTGGGCAAGCACACACAAAAAGCGTTTCATAATCTCAACCAGCCTAAAATTGCTTTTTTATGGCCGGTTCCTTTCCTGCATACTTGGGACATCTGCGGAGCAATTGTTCCTCATGGGTGGGATTTCTGCATCCTCAGAGCTACTGTAATAAGGTCGGCTTCAAGCTTTTAGTCGAGGCCTGGCATTACTAGGCTCAGCAAGAAGAGGGAATATCCCCAGGAATGCTGAGCACAGGAGCTGCACGGTAGCCTGGATTTCCCAGTAAGCTCTGCAGGCTCCGAGGGTGGCTGGGATGCAGACTGGGTGGATGGTTGGCTCTTGGTCCTACCAGTTGCAGGAGGGACTGCCTAGATTTCTGCATTAGGTCATGTGGGTATTCCTCAAGAGAAAGGGTAAATGGGGAAACGCACGGCCTCACGTTTAACACAAGATGATTTCCTCTTGGAAGAGGAGGGGGTGGACTCCCCTGGGAGATGTGAACAGGACTAGTCGTTAATTTGAGCCATTCCCTGGCCTGGGAAATGGAGAATTTACAGGTGCTCTTTCCTGGCTATCAGTAATGACAGGCTGGTCCCTGACCTTTGAGGGAAATCGGGCTCTTTCCTCCTTTTTTCAGTGCATGAACCAGGCACTGGGACAAGAGACAAGGACATGAATCAACAGTCCTTTCCCATGTCTAATTCCTGTGATTAAGAGACTAATTGGAGTGGCTAAAGCGCTCCGGGAACGGGGATCTGGAATGTGATGGCTCGACAGTTCTCAGCAAGTTGGTAGGAGGGAAAAACGCCCCTGCGGTTGGAAGAGTCTTTGCTCTGTCTGGAGGGGACGGAAAGAAGATCAGAGACTGTCGGCTTCAGCCATCCCCATGTGACAGCAGAGGCAGCAGCAGCGTAAGTGCTCAGTGGATCAAATAGAGGATGGGGCAGTTCAGGACCCGTGGCAGCCTGCCCGCCTGCCTACAATTTAGCTGCATACTCCACCTAGCAAACTCGGCATATTTGTGTGTTCCACAAACAGACTTTCTGGCATTTTTCTGCGTCTGTGACTCCACTTGTGACCCTGTGAACCTCCCTTTAAGTCAGCCGAAACAGTCTGTTTTCATTCTACAATCTCCAAGGCACATTAATATTTAAAAGCCGTTGATAAGATGAAAGAAGAGCAATCCTTCTGGATGAATTAACGGAAGGGACATTTGCTTCTCTCCAATGCTCTGGGAACTGGCATTCAGCTAACATTGAGCACATCTTCTGAATGGGGCTTAGACAACTTGCAAATTCAAAAGAAAACAAAACAAGTTATTTGGAAAAAAAAAAGTCTTTCTGACCTCCAGGATTCCTGCTCTTCCTGGTGGGCTGGCTGGAAATAGCAATACAATCTAGAAAGTCTTCTACTTTGGGACTACTGATTCCACTCTGACCCATGGTTTAAGTCGACTGAAGGATGAGAAAAGTCCTGCAGAAGTATTCCTTGGGAATCTAATTCTTTCAGTTCACTGCATTTGTGACTCTTGTGCTGAATTCCCACAAAGGCTGGAGTGTAGCTGAGCTTGGCTTGGTGATTAGAGTCGCTTGTTAAAATAACTTTTATGCTGCATATATGACGAATGTGAACTTGAAGACACGTGCGGAGTGGGTTACTTTACACAAATCATTCCATCAAACACCAAGAGCAGCACTGTGATTATGTGTGAATAACCAAGACAGCAGGAATTTCAAAGATGAATCAGTACTGCTCACATGCTAACTGAGGGATAACCAACAAAGTAATTCAGAAAATAATTTAGAATAATTAATACATCTGAGAACTTTTGCAATCCAGAAGGGCATGTTTTGTGAGTAGTAGAAAACACAGCACATACCCAACTGTTTAGTATTAAGTGCTACAAGAGCAGAGCAAAATAAACCTTATCAGCATCCAGCTGCTTCATGGTCTCTGACCATCCCGACCCAATTCCCAGGAGACACATCCCATTCTTAGAAAGCCAGCAGGGGTCAGATGAAGACCAGAGAAAGGCCAAGAACTCAGGAGCCTAGAGACTTCTCCCACGGTAGTCCCTGGGCCAGCTGAGGCATGAGGCAGGGCAGCACAAGCCTGGGCTATGGTGTCTGCCTCTCAGTGCTCCCAGACACCAGAGCGGGGAATCTGGTGCTTCTTGCACCAGTAGTAACGTTCACTTCAGCTGAGGAAAGGTACTGAGCTTGGACTACTTTAGAAGCTTACTTCTACAGGCTAGTGAAACGCAAACCAAGTGGTACCAGCTTGCTAACCTGCATCACAAAATGAAATGTGGTGAAAAGGAGAGGAACAAGCCTGTTTCTCTATGTACCTCAGACCTCTACACAATTGAGGGTTTGCATGCACTCGAGCAGCCGTCTGTGGTGCCTTATGAAGATATGTCCCTCTGTCTCCAAGCCCATATCTCCCTGCTATGTTCATACGAAGCTTCATCCAGAGCACACTAGTCAACAAGGTGATTCCTGTGACTGTCACAGGTTTTGCATCAGGCCCTGTGGTATGGACAACATGCTCCAGCTACTGCCTGCTCATCCCTACCTTTCCTCTCGATTTTTCTTTTAGTCATACCCTCAGGATGAGAAAGCATCTATCAAGACCAAGGTGAGAGAAAGGCAATTGGTAGAAACAGAAAGCAAATAGCAGCATGATGACCTCGCAGTTACAGGATTTTGAGTCGAACATGAGAATTTGCAGCATGCTGGGGCAGGGCAGGGTTGTACATTCATTTCTCAGGAGGGACAAAATCAAAATGCTAGCAGCTACCACCAAACTTAAAAGCTTCTTTCAGCTCTAACTAGCATGACACAGTACAGTGTGCTGTCTACTAGAACAGAAAGAAAGAAGGGAAAAAGCTATCAACTTACTGGGTTCCCATCGATGCCTGGAGGTCCTCGTTCCCCAAAATCACCAGGAAAGCCCTGAGGAGAGGACGCAAACATGAGTGTTAGTTACTGACATACCATGGTGTAAAGACAGTCAGCCTAAAAACTACTCCCCTTGCAATCAGTACAGCACTTTGGTAGAGAGTGGGTCACAAGGAAGCGTGGGCCAGCCAGCCTGCTTGTCCTCATCCAAACCATTCTTGCTCCACCAGCACATCCGCTCAGCAAGAAGCTCTACAAGGCCAAAAGCTCTGATTCACTGCTCTCTCCTGGGGCCAATGAAGGGTAACCAGAAGTACCGTTTACAAGGCTCAGCCATGAGCTGCACAAGAACTAATGGGAGCCTTGAGAGGAAGAATCAGTGAGCAGACAGGAAGGCTTTTTCCTTGGCCATGCTATGAAAAGCACCCAATGCTGAGGCTGCCGGACGCAACTTGTTCACACCTTGTCTTGCAGGCTACGTCCAGCCCACAATCAGCCGTGCCTTTTCTTAGCACCAGTTGTCAGCCCTGGGCACGCTTCATGAGGCAGGCAAGTCTTTTGCAGCGCCATGTAGAAAGACAACGTGAGTGTGCATAGCAGAGAGAAGGGGTAGAAATCAGTGCTTCTGTCCTCCTTTTGGTTCACCCAAGTACTCCAGTATGTCCAACAAGGAATATACAGCCTTGAAGATTATGTTGTATAGTTTACACGTGAAAAGATAATCCCACATGTGGAAGATCAAACTCTGTATTTAAAGATACAGTGCTTTCTACCCTCTTTCAGGAAGAAATATCCTACTAATAGGATACTTCCTTAAAAGTCAATACTTCTTTAAAAGTCAATCCCAAATCCCTTATGTTCTGGAAGAATTTATAAACCTCACTGCAATGACTATTTTCAAAAATGGATTGTCAATCTGAATTATTTCATCCTGCCTACTAACACAATCATTTTAACAGTACCCCCTTCTCATAGGGTAGCTGAATAGCGTAATGCCTGTTGGAGCCCATGCAGATGCTTAATGGAGCTGATCAAAGATGCCTAGTGAATTCACTCTAATGCATTCACGACCTTTCAGCTTGCCAGGGGAACAAACGGTTCCAAGCTCATTACGGTCCACACCCCAGAGCTGTGAAAGACCATGTTTACTACATGAAAAAGTCACCACAAAAGACTTCTTCATCATCTCATTATATCTGATACAAATTTGGAAGACTTCAAACAATTATAGAAAAGGGAGTGGAGGTACTGAGCCAGAGCCAGAACATGGTGGTGTGACACGTTCTCTCTTGCACTCTTAGACAGACCCTGTGCTCCCCTAAGACCCCCCAGTTCCCTAATACAAACAACTCGTACAGCAGCTTGCTCTTCCCTGTCCTGTCATGCTCCGTCTCCTTCAGAAAGAGCTCAGCAGAGGGGTACACAGCCTCTGTGGTTAGTAAACCCTCTTAGTCACTATATCGACATTTTCAGGGAGAAAGCAGTTGAGTTTAAGATGGATTGGACTCAATTTTCCCCTGAGATTGAACTTCATTCAGCAAAGGACTGGCAGGGAGCAGGCTGCCAAGAGCTATCAGGAACCAGCTCAAACATCAGCAGTTTCAGTGTTACTCTGAACTTCAGCTGCAGTGGAAGGTGCTTTGGGAAGGCTGTGACACTGAGGTAAGAGAGTGCTGTGACTCTCCACTTCTTTTTCTTGCATGCGCCTTAAGATGGAGTGAGATAAAATATGACACAGCATCCACCTCCTTTGACTCTGAGCCAAAAGGAAAATCGTTGTCTGCTAAAGGAGCTCCCCATGGACAGAGCATATGCAGAGCCTAACCCTAGGCTCTGGCTCCTAGACTTGATCAATTCAGCCAGGGCTAAAATCTTGCTTTAATCTCCACACTACTCTGACTGTGGGAATCAGGATGGAAAACTATGGAATATATTTGCATATAAAAGGCTTCCTAACCAGACCATCTACATTTGTGCTTCAGTTCAGAGTGGGAACTTGTGAAGCAAAGCTCTGATCACCCCTGCTCCCTCTCCTGTTTATGGTGGAGCAGTCTTAGAGAGTAACCAGCCTTGCTTAGAGGAGGCTACACCAGAAGACATACTCCAGAGACACACCAACAAGCTGCAACTGCTAGTGGGTGTGTTATTTCTAACTCATACTAGGAGTCACAGTAAAACTGCCTTACACCCTTCTCTGGCTCCACCAGACCGTGAGATACAAAGGACAACACTACCACGTTCTGGGCTAGCTAAGAGCTTAAGAGACGGGGATGGAGCAGACAGGGAGAGGATGGTTCTTGCTGAGCCAGAAAGATGCTCTCTCTCCCTCCCTGCTCCCCTGTATACTACAAACACTGGTTACCTTGAAAAAGCAAACCTGAGGGAGGCAAAATGCGACAGCCAACAGCATTTGCTATCTGGAAACCCATCAGCAACACTGAAAATTGAAATGATCGCAGTGGACAGAACAGGAAAACTATACTGGGAAGCTCTGCAGTCAAAGATGTCATCCAAGACCTCCCTTCACCTTTGAGGGTTTACAACTGCTGGTCAACACAACTAGGTAAAAAGTTACTTAGTCAAATCTAAGGTGAGACATGGGAGACAACCAAAATTTTGCCACTGACTTCAGAGCCAGCATTTCACCTCTTCTGTACCAATTCCCTACAGCATTCAGCATGTGCTCCTGAACGGACACAAGATATCACTTCCTCGCTTAGACTCAATACTTCTATTTTATGGGCATCACTGCGAATAGGAAAGTTGTCTGCTTTTTTCCAGCTGGGCACTACATCCCTCAAGCCTGTGCACATGCCAAGAAGCTGTGGTAAGCAACCACTGGAAACAGCCTTCTGCCATCTAGAGACAAAGACGTCAAATATAACGAGAAGGCAGGGGGGCTACAATTTTCTTAATGAAAAAAAGGGGAAAAATAGCTCTGCCACATGCTGAATCAATAAGATCAGAACAGAGATGTGTAGGGAAAACTCATTGCTTAGACAAGAAAAAAAAAAGAAAAAGACTGCCTTGGAATATTTTGCTGTTTACAGTCATACAACTTGCCAAGGAAAATATGAGTCTGCACAGACTGATACTGTACTTACGCTGCCGCAGATTTCAGTCACAGCCTTCAGCAGTCCCCCAACTGCATCCTTCCTTTCTCAAGAGGGCAGAGCTGGGCACAGTGACCCATGGATGCCACTGAGCAGCCTGGCCCTGGGGCTGCTGAGGTGTCTTCTGTGAAGCTAAGGTCTTGCCAATGTGCGAAGGTTTTACTACTTTGAATAGTACAATTAAATCAATATTGCTACAGCAGAATAATATCATCTAGAGGAATGCTTGCTCCAGACTAAAAGCATTTTCTAAATTTAGTTTAAATCTCTTCCAACGTGATATAAACAATGCACTTTTCTGCCAGAATAAGAGTAGCCAGATAAAGAACTATTTAATTTCATGTTTCCCACTAATCTCTTTTTATGCCTCAGTTTCTAGAACTAACCTTGCTGCTTAAAGATAAAGACATAGGAGATTTGAGGCACTTGGTAATAGAGTTAATAAAAATCTAGCTTTTACATAGGCTTTCCAACAGTAGATCTCCAATTATTTAAAAAAGCAGATTATTTCTGTGTTTTGAAGGCAAACAGCTGAGCACCTGAGGTCACTTGGCCAATGCTATGCAGTAAGCAAGAGATTCGACAGTAAAACCCCTTCACAGCACGCTGTGACTCTCTCCACAGAGCTAGGGTTTCTGCCCATTCTCAAGATGGGATGGAAAAAGGTCATAGTGGGAGGAAACAGAGAGAAAACCCAGAACAGTGTGGGCTGGCATCATTGCTACAACAGCCAGGCCCAAGACAACACTTGGCAGCAAAGCCCTGTCCTTGCCAACACCTGATCATCCTTAACACTCCATCTGCTCTGCTGGCCTGAGCACCCCTCCCAGCCTCAGCTCACAGATCTCTGGGGTGGTGGGTGGTCCCCTGGTACTTTTTGGCCCGAGCTATAAAACAAACCTAGTGGAGGAGACAGATGGAAAGAGCGGCTTCAATTCAACTAACCCCAGGCATCCCACCCCAATATTTGAGCTTGACAACACAAGTATTAACAGTCTTTTGCACATTAAATGAGACCAAGGCTGGTGGCTGTGGCATGAAGGAGGATATTTCAGCATCCACATGGTCTCCAAAGACCCAAACCAGGTTGTGAAAACTATCCCAACACAGTCCTGTGCACAGCATGAAACAATCAATCTTATAAGCCCCTAATGAAAAAGAAAGCACTTTCTTTCCATGGGGTAAGCAGTAGCAGTTTAAACCACAATAACAGTTCCAGTGACCACAGTGTCCTAATTTATTGGATCTCACATGTCTGTAAAAGCTATTTTTTCAGTGCCTCTTCCCTTCTGCGTGAGCCTAAAGGACAGAGATGTTCCCCAGGAACAAAACTAGCACTATTCAACCGAAACAAGCAGCCTAGGAATTACAAGCAGACTTCGTTATCCCATTTGTTTCATTCTTGTAAGCAGCACTACCTCTTCTCTCCCGTGCATTACTCCAGCAGTCTGAGGAGCCCAAAGTGAGGAAGAACACATGGGGCAGGAAGCTCATTTTATGGTGCTGGCGGACAGGCAGGTCGCAACTGGCAGCCCATTACAGGAGACTTGTGAAAGAGATTAAAGAGCCCAGTGCATTCAGAGTCTCCTGACCTTCCCAAAGGGAGTGCAGAGGTTTTTTTGGTACAGAAAATCCACCATTTTTCAGGGTACAGCTGTTTTTCCAGGAAGACTGGGCCCTGGAAATTATGCTCAAGAATTGGGACGGCAAAGAAAAACACCCTAGTGAAAAATACCAAGCCGTGCATCCTGCCCGCTCTGTGGAAGGGAGGGGACATGCAGAGAAGGGCCAGGACCAGCAAGGGATGGCAAATGGCAGCAGAGCTAGGAGAAAAATGCTCGACTAACAAGTTCTGTTGGCCGAGAGCCAGCTGGGTGCTCCTTCGCAGTGGCTGAAGTCAGGCATGACAAAACTTTTGGCTCTACCTCACAGCTGGGAAAT